TATCAATCCCAGTGTTTTCAGATATGAATATTAAAATATAATAAAATAAAATATAAAAAATATTGTAAAAAACTTCAACTTCAAGTAAAAATTCGTCAAAGTGTATAAAAGCAATTTGTCGATAAAAATGACTTAGATTTTTGTTTGAAGACAATTGGTGGCAGTGTCTTTACACTATTTGGCAATTTATTATAAATACCTACTCGTTCCAACAAACACAACAAACACTATATTAATGTACTTCCGATCGTAGGTCGAAGTGCCTTTTATTTTCATGGATATATGTCATGAATTTTTAAATAAATATGCTTGCCACACGTAATACTTTATTCTCTTGAAATATTCCTCTACACGACATTCTGTAATCAAGGTTAAAAATGATACGAATATTCTGTCAATTTCAAGACAGCAAAGTTGCATCATACTATGGAGTGAAATTTTGCGTAATAAATCGTTAGTAGAGATTTGGTATCTAGTTTACTTTTCAGTGATTTTATTAGGTAATACGATTGGTTCAGTTTCTTAGATGTAAACTCTATATGTTCTCTCCTTGTGAAAAGGGAATCAATCATTGTTCCTAAAAACTTTGTACCAGTTGTTGATCTCAGAGATTCGTTGACAAAATTGAAGCTGAAGTTATGTAGACTCCGAGGAGAATATACAAATTCAATACAAACAGTCTTATTGACATTAACAATCAATCTGTTTTCATAACACCTCTCACGGAATTCTTGTAGTACAGTGTTGACTTGGGTATTCATTTCATTTGGTGTTTTGCTCGATAAGATGATAGACGTATCATCTGCATAAAGGTACACATTACCATAACTTATGTTATCAAGAAGATCATTGACATACAGTAAAAATATCAGTGGACCAATAATACTACCCTGTGGTGTTCCTGTTGTAACAGAATACTCGTCAGATAATGTATTAATCTGTTTCACTTTGAAATATCGATTAGTTAACAAGGTATCGAAAGATCTACTTAAGTCGAAAAAAAGTCCCACAACGACTTTTTTCTCATTGACTGAATCATGGATTTGTTGAACCAATTTGAGTGTTGCTGTTTCTGTTAAATGATTTTTTCGAAAGCCATGTTGGCACTTGGTCATCAAGTCGAATCTTTCCAGGTAGTCATTTATTCTGCGCGATATAATCTTTCAAAGATTTTAGAGGAGACGCTGATAATCGATATGGGGCGATAATTCTCTATGTTAGTGCAATCGCCACTTTTCAATATCGGAATCAATAGTGCGATTTTAAAAAGATCAGGATAGCCTCCAAAAGAAATACATTCCGGGACTGGTGCCTTCCTTGGATGTGGTACCCGTTTCTTAGACTACCTCTCCGGAATCGAACCCTTTTTCCCCATTACCTGTTACAACCATAATAGACATACAATCTTCCATCGACAGTGGATGAAACAGATATTTGAATTACCTTAATATTTAAGAATTACCACAAATATCTAAGTAAACGTGGTTACAACGTGGTGAACTGAAAATTGTTATCCGCTCGACTATCCAAAAATATTTTTATTGACTTGTGTATGAGGTTGGATTATTTCAATCTCGCCGCACACAATTCGATAGCGTAAATTTCCGTTTGAAATACAGTGGCATAAGTTCCTAGGCAGCGAGATATCTCTGTCATGGGTCTGCGACTAAAAATACCTGCGCCAGTACCGGAAGGTGTTTTTGATCCATATGTGAACCAACAACTATCTGCTCTTAATATTTCCTTTTCCCGGAGGATCCAGTCCTCTCTACTCGGGAATAGTATTAGTTATAAGGCAGTTCGTAGTTGACAATTGGTGGCATTAAGTCAGAGGTCATTTCCAGAATGCTATGACTTCCAGTGTCAACCAACAGTCTGTTGCACTCTGCATTTAATTGAGTTGTACAATTATCAATGCGCACAAGTCTGTATGCAATCCATCTAGCCTTTCTATCCAGAAAAATGTGGAGGGGAGGTAGATCTGTAAAGGATCCCCATGACCGCTGACGTTGTGGTACTGATGGCACCAGTGATAGCCAGACAAGCCTGTCTCTGTAAGCCAGAGATCTTTGCTTGGGCCGTTTTCTGTAAAGCCTTCAGCCACCAAGCAACTGCAACATAAGTGATCATTGGTCTGAAAATCATCACATAAATCCAATGGATTTGTTTAGGGACCTAAGCCCCAAGTTTTACCACAAATCCTTCGACATCTGTCTGTTTAAAAAAAATATGTTTTTCCGTTAATCATAGACTGTCTATAGAGACAGTCTGGCTTTGTATAAAACAAGGGAGCTCCAGGTGAATCTTTCATCAAGGACAATGCCAAGATATTTTACCTCAGTTCCAAATTGAATGACCTCACCATTGAGGTAAAATTGGCGTTAAATCGTCCTGCCTACAGCGAAGGTACATGTTTGACCAGGGCCTGACTTTTCCTTGTGGAGGATCGTCCACTCCAAGGTTGACAGACCATGGTTCATTTCCCTCCATAACCATAGGACTCATTATATCGATGTTAAACACAATTTTAAATTAGTTTCGAATTATTTTTTAATTTTGTAGTTTGTGTTGCGATTAAAGCTTGTGTTTTTAGTTTTTTAAACTTTTATTCATCTTATAGGTACTCTAATGAACCTTTGTCTTTCCTATCAGTAGTTTGTTTTTTATTGTGGGATTTTTAAGTCAGATTACATAAACTGCTTCATTTCTATCTCATCTGAAGAGATAGTTCTTTGGTAAAACGTGTAATTCTATAGGAATTCAAGCAAATTATATCAAAAAAAATATCAAGACGTTCAATAATTATTTGATGAATATTTAAAACATTGTTTTGACGTATATGGACAGTAAATATTGAGTATTTATCAGAAAATTATTCAGAAACGAAGTTGAATTTGGTAATAGAAAGCATCGAAGGAAGGCAATTGAAACATTCTCATTCTCTATTTTACAGAGAGAGTTTCATAGTGGCAACATTTTTTTTCTAATCAACATTCGGAAAATACCAATAGTGCAGCATACTTTCCAAGTCTCAAAAACGCAGATAATTGTTTTTATTGTAGATTCAGACTTCTACGGGGATACTCCTAAATTGTCTTTCAATGAGCTCGTGCACCAATGTAAGAGTCAAGCGAAGGGAAATCTTCTGGAAAATGAGAGACTCCAACATCTGAAACTCGATCTTGCAATAGTTTTGTATACTTCTGGTAGTACTGGTATTCCGAAAGGTAAGTTTTGATAATAAACTAACATCGATCGAAAGTAATTCTAATAAGGAAAACAAGACATGAAAAACTAACACTCGAATCAACGAAAAGTGTTTTTCTCGAAAGCCTTCAAAAACAGCACCGGTTTTGATGATTTTTCTCTTCAATTTTTTTTAATATTTCCAATTTTATTTCTCCCTAAATTTGTATTATTGATGAGAAAACGATTATCAACGCGTCAATCTACTCAAAATTCTATAAAAAAGTTGAACACCAAATAGTCTTGATAATTCCACGTTCAACCTATAGTGAATAGGTAATTCCAGCCACAGATATTAGTACGGGTGCTAATAATTCCGTTTTCCAACCACAGATTTTTAATTTCCTCTTCGTCAGCATGTGTGGCCAGAAATCTGTGGATAACTTCACGCCAATAAAATTTTCTACCAAACAATCCTCATTACTTTTCAATTGGGCTGAACTGAATTATCTGCTCTGTAAGTATCTTAGGAGGGAAAATGTTTCAATGGACCACAAGCTGTAATTCATTATTTGTTACATACATTCTCAAACCACTCGAACTTCTTTGAAACAAAATAATCGTCATGATATTATTCAGTATTGTAATAAAGTAAACATGATTAAACGATACAAATGATAAAAAGGTCATAGGCGTATTTCGAAGAAATAATGACATCTATTTATGGCATTCTAGTATCATTTATTGTGAAAGACAGAAACCGACTTTCAATTAATGAGGGTGATGCAACATAGTCATTATTATTGTCTACTGTTTCTTTTTTAGGTGTACGTTTGCCACACAAAGTAATTCTGAACCGTCTACAATGGCAATTCAAGAGGTTTCCTTACAGCAACACAGAGAATGTATGCGTTTTCAAAACAGCCTTGACGTTCGTCGACAGTGTATCAGAAATTTGGGGCCCTCTTCTGAGAGGACGATCCATTCTTGTGGTTCCCAAAGTCATTACTAAGGATCCCGAAAATTTGATTGCCTTGTTAGAGAAATATAAGGTAATCATATTGATATATTGTATGACAATTATTCTGTGTATTGAATTCAGAAGTTGAACTTGTGATGCAGTGTTTGGAACCTTTGGTGTACTAATGAATATAAGTGGAGTTGTTTCCCAGCATCAAACCGTTATTTTAACACCTCGACACGTGTTTCAATCACCAAGTGATTATCTTCAAGAGGAAGATCAAACTGTTCATCTTCAAGAAGAAACACGTGTTTAGGTGTTGAAATAACGGCTTGGTGTTGATAAGAAACTCCAGTAATATTAAATATTTGAAGATCAGAAAAAATGTATCTATCTTTGATGCTCTATCAGCTCCTCCGCATCATAAACTCTCACTTCTTATACATTATCAAACATCTCTCTGAATACACTTCTTGTCCATTCGTAAATGATAACCGAAACAAAATAAAAACTGACGCTATCTTTCTTGATTTAGCCAGTGTGTTTGACACCGCTGGCCAAGATACTTTGATCTTAGCATGGCTGAATGCGTCTTTGGATTACATATATGCAGCTTCTTTAAATTTTCTCCTGAACCAGTGTTCCTCCCTGTGAATGATCTCAGCTTGGGACCACTCGAAGTTATGTTGATGGGTCCAAACATGCTCTGCTAATCCTGATTTTCTGGTTTTCCCTCGCTGTCTGTGTTTCTTGTACTCTTTAATGGCCTCTTAGTTCCACCGATGCAGGATTTGCCGCACTCACAAGGTATCCGGTGAACACACATCTTGGAATCGCATTCTCCGTTCGGTGTTATTATGAGGGTGCTACAGATAGTGTTTCTGGATCTGAAGCAATTTTGATGTTATACTTGGACCCAACTCTTCTTATCCTTTCCAACAATCCTCTGACGTAGGGAAGTGCAAGCACTGGTTGTGGCGGCTTTTCTTCCTTGCTAGTCTCTTGCTGTCTTTTAACCAAAGTCTGTTCTAACATCATCATTTTCATTTATTATCTCAGATATTTCAAATCATATCATATGGAAGTTCGAGCTGATGAAATTCACCATGAAACATTGGCAACCACTTTCAAACCTCTTTTTCTATCGACGAGTTTGAAAGGGTGAGTATCGTACCCTTCATATGTCATGTATCCCTCAAGAACATCTAGAGGCGTCAAATCAGGAAATCTTGTAGGCTCGCCTGAGGAACTACGTCTGCTTGTCTACTGATTAGATTAATTGACAAATCCAAATTAGTTTTCATCAACTGATGCTTCGTTGTAGCAAGATAAGGCTGGTTAGAAAATGACTAGCTGACTATCATTCAAACCGGTGGATAAACAAATGTGCTCCCTCAGAATCACCTGCTAAATTACCTGTTATGATGCTTTCAGATTTCGTATATGTTTCACAACTTCAGTCTATTCCAAAGCTCGTTAGTGCTTTTGAGATATTATCCATATGTCGCTGACAGTTCAATATGGAGGAAAAGAAGGTGAAAGAGAAAAAAATTGAGAAATTTAAGAAGAAATATTGAGTAGTTATTCAGTTTTGAAGTGAGAGTGGGTGATTGTCCCGAACTTATCTCCTTTTATCATATCAAGCTAATGTACTTTTGATATCTTTCTCCGTTTCACAAAGAAGATATTCACACCTGCCATTTTTACGTACGGTATTTGTCGGGGTATTTCACTTTGATCGACTCAAAGTCCTTCCGACAACTTCAGGAATTCGCTTGCAAATTAAATCACTGTTGGAATTTAAGAAAAATGTTAATTTTTTCATTAGATATGTCGTGAATCAGAATGGAAGGCAATTCTAGTTTTCAAATTGACCATACATAGTAAATAATTGCTCTTCTTCCAATTTGTATTTAGTTCTGATTTGTGATTATTTTAAATGTGCAGCAGCGACGAACAAGGATATTTTTATTCGAATACTTTACGAGTATAAGTAAATAAACATACAATTTCAATGCAATTTAGGTTGCACGAGTTGCAAATCATTCCCATAGCAAATCAAGAGAATGTGATTTACAGACAACTCACATTATTCACAATTCAGTAACTTCATGCTAGTGTAGAAAGGATCAACTTCTAGTTCACCTCGATAAGTAACTGAATAAAATCAAACAAAATGTTCTGTTCAATAATGATTTTACCAATCGAACAAAACAGCTAAGAATATCGTAGGGTAATTTTTGATGTTTTGATGTTGGGGTCCCTGAAATAAAATTGTTATTTTTCGGTTAGGGTAGAAAGGTGGAATGGCGGTCAGTGGGAAATGCCGGTCAGTTTAAGATATCCATCTTCCCGAAACATCTCATTAAAAATACCAGTGCTTCCATCTAGTATACCTGCAAGTAACCTTATATTAATGGCGCAATCGTGCTGGCGCACCTATAGTGAGCGTGCCAGCCATTACTGTGTGTAGAGATGTATTCTTGTTATAATTCGAAATTTTTAACCAAAGGTAAGTCATTTAATATATTATTCGAATAAAACAGCGATAACCACCAACTATTGCATGCGTATTTATTAATACAATATCTCGGTTTTGAGTTATCATTTGTATTGTGAACTGAAACAAACTTTAAAAAGAAATCTTTCGATATCTATCCGCCAACCTGAAGCAACCAGCATACATCGCGTGACAGCATTCAACAAGGAAGAGGTTAGCTTATTCTTTAAAAATTTGGAAGATATTATGGAAAAATATCACTTTCCTGCTTCCAAAATATATAACATGGATGAAACCGGGGTCACTACCGTGCAAGACCCGTGCACAGTTATTGCGGAAAAAGGACAGAAGAGAGTAGGACGCTTTGAGACCTGTCTTTTTNTGTTTTATTTTAATTTAAAAGCAAACCTTAGAATAAACCTTATATTTTTTGACTGACTGGCATTACCCCCCCTGCTGACCGCCATTACCCGAAAGTCCGGGTAATGGCGGTCAATGAAAGCTTTACTAAAAGGCATAAAAATATAAAAAACTATACAAAGCTTTGTATTTGTATTTTATATACAGAAAGTGAAGTGAATTAGCTATTCAGTAAGTAAATCACTTTGGCCTTTGCTCATATAAGAAATGAGTTATTTCGATTCCTGCTTAAGTGACCGCCATTCCTCCATTCTACCCTAATCTTTATAAGTTTGTTGGGGGTTAAAATGGACACCAGTATGTCTTGTCATAATCACGTCGTTGGAATTGCAAAGGCTGCTTCTCAAAACTTTGGAACATTGTTCCGAACCAGAAAACTGTACACATCTCAGCATATTTTGATGCTTTATAAAGCTCAGATCAGACCTTCTTTGGAGTATTGTTCTCATGTATGGAGCTCTACCTTTAAGCATACCCTGAAGGTGCTGGATTCCATTCAGAGAAGAGCCATCCACCTCATTGGCGACACGATCATCACTTGCAACTTTGATAGTCAGGAACATCGAAGAAAGGTTATTGATTTGTCTGTCTTCTATAGATACTTTCACAGGGAGTGTTCAAGTGACCTGGCATATTTGATTCCACCAAGAGCGGTACATATCAGAAATATGCGACGAACTGTGGCTACTCATCGTTTTGAAGTTCGACTCAGTACACCTCGAACTTCACTCTTTTAGAACTCTTTCATTTGGAGAACTGCATTCATGTGGAATAAACTTCCTGAGAACGTTTTTCCAAATGAATTCAATCTCCAGCGATTCAAATCCAATTTGAATTCAAATCCAATTTGAATCGCTACTTTCGCACAGGCACCGCTTCTGACCCGGTACCAAATTAAACGAAAAAAATTTGTCACAACATTTTTGGAAGTGCTTTCCTGGTTGAGATCCTGGGTACAATCTTGCCACATTCATCTATCATTTGGAAGGTGACTGGTTCTAGAACCGACTTTCAGTGCAGAATCACGTAAACCTCGTTAATTTTTTGGTCCCACGACTTTCAACTTTTGAAGGTTTGAGGAGGGTGACGAATGGTTAATAAATGAACCCATTTCATGTCAAACCCACGTTTTTCTGACAATGTGGAGTATTTATTGTGCGTTTGATTCTGTTATTTCACATATTGACTATTCAATTAAGAGTGAAAATTCTCATATCTTGTGTACAACTCTATTTTCCAAAACAATTTTTGAAGTACGTCTTCAGAAGTTCAACACCCATAGCTCCATTGAAAGCTAACTTTGTTATTGTTAATAATTCTAGTAATTGAAAACGTTCATTAGTAGTATTATTAGTTTCAGATGTTTGTCCACTCTCTTTTCGATTACAAGATATTCTCAATAGTTTCGTCTTCAGTATTTTTATCAATTTTTCCAAAATATTTCTTTCTTATCAATTAAAATTAATACACTCCGTGTATTTCTTTGTTGTTATAATTTCTTTGCTATTACCTGAAGAGATTGATTTTCACTAGCTTTGTCCTTGTACCAAAATTATTACAACCACTGTATTCATTCAAAGCGATATTTCATTCTCACATATAACACCACAATTCAGTTTCAGACATTTCAAGCTACACCAAAGAAAGAAAAGTGCGTCGTCCTTTATTCAAAACTCATCCGCATTTCCTTTATGCTCTCAATTTGTATTCCTCCATACAGTTTGTAAGTGACATCGTTTGTAAAATTTATCTATTCAAATTCAAATAAGGGGCGTCATTCAATCATGTGGAATAGACCATTAATCACAGTAAAGTCAATATATCAGAAGTTAGGAATGGCAAGGCAAGCAAAAAATTGAAATGAGAAACTTTATTGCCAAATATGTAGGAAATTCTTATACTCGTAATTTATAACGTAGTGTCACTTTAATCTCATTATCTCTTGATGTGGATTACTTTCAGGTTGAGAGGCTTATCCTAGTTCCAACACTTCTGAAGTCCCTCTTGATGTATCTGAAACTAAAAGTGAGTATACATAAGGAAAAATTATTGGTTTATCAATATTATGATGCACTCAAATTAAAATCACGAAATAGTTTTTACGAAATAGCGACAATGATAAAATGTTTACAAATTCACTTGGTTGTTGAGATCAACTAGTTGTTCTGCCGTGAAAGCTGCAGTAAGAAACAGAGGAGCAGTCTTGTTCAGCGGTTGAAGTCATAACTTAGTTTTGCAAACGATCGCCTTCCGTATTCGTACATTGAGTTTTATGTTGTTGGTCTCCTACATGGCATCTTCGTAAAGGGATATGACATAACTTTCATTTTATCAGCCTAACACTATTGATGAAACCCGAGGTGGGTCGAAACAGCGAAGTCTGGTGTTCGTTCACAAATGCTCTCTTCTTGACCCGAATTCTAACCAACTCACCTCATTTTATTTTCTTGTAATTTATTTAATTCATAATGTATTCGACGAATTCTTTTTGTTTCAAACTCGGAAAAAATTGCATTTTCAGGGCGAGAAATCTACATTGAGGAACTTGAAGACGTGGATATGTTCTGGAGAAATCTTGACAGTGTCTCTAGCAGAAGAATTCTATAGATGGTTTTCTGATAAAGACCATCAACTCTGTAATTTTTATGGAAGCACGGAAATAATGGGAGATGTAACTTACTTTGTTGTTCCTGGACTACAAGAACTGAAACATATGGACAAAATACCGATAGGTAAATATCTTATGGATATTCCTGAGTGCAAGCTTCCAATGAATGTTCAAGTTATTATTACCTAAGTAAAAGTATGTGAGATAATAATATTTTTTTTCAAAATACTTTTTGAGGTATAGTTGGGTAATGTGCAGTTTTTGAAAATGATGGAAAACAGCAGTATCGTTTTTCATAATAATTACATGCTGCCTGAAGTTTCCAGAGACATATTTTCATGTCGAATGTACTAGAAACTTGTATACGAGCGCATCGATCTCTCCTCTCGTCTTCCAGAGATTAAGAGCTCGGCGTCGGCTACATGCAACGTGCATTGGACGACCTCGAATGCTGGTACCTGGATTGGAAGATCCGAGTGAACCCGAACTCAGGCGATAACCATGGGAAGATTGCTATCTTCTCCGGCCAGAAAAGTGAGAATCTCTGGAAGGGAGATTGACTGGCAAGCGCGGGTAAATTACGTCGGCCTTCTAATAGACCGTAGGCTAACTTGGAACCCGCACATCATGTGCGTTAAGTCAAAGATCGAGGGTCGGATAGCTAGTCTGTACCCTCTGATCAATAGAAAATCAAAAATGAGTCTAGAGAACAAAATTACCATCTACAATACGATGTTCAAGCCTGTCATCATGTATGCTTCCGGCGTCTGGGGACAAGCGGCTACGTATAATATCTCCATTCTGGAGAGATTGCAAAATAAGTTAATGAGGAAATTGTGAATGCTCCTTGGTTCGTGTGGAATGGAGCCATCCGCAGAGATTTGCAGCTGCCTTCCATTCAGCAGTCCATTCAGTCGAGAAATCGGCGAGTTTTTGATAACGCGGAAACCCACGAAAATCCGTTAGTTAGGGAAGCTATAGATTATGCTGTAGACGACCCCTCTCGATAAAGAAGGCCCCGACACTCTGTCGAATGAGGCCCTCATGTCCCCCGTTAACGGACGAATAGATTTTTCATCCATCCCACCCCAGCCAAGTTGGGGCACCCCGTGTAGGGCGGTACTGATGTCTGAGGACTTCATACCGCCAATATCCCCTCAGTCATGAAACCATTTGTCCTTCTTCGACAAAAATCAGATAAAAGGGTAAGGGACCTGGGCTCCAACCCGAATGAAATGAAGACGCTTGGTTGGTCGGTGAGCGCATCGATATGCAGATTAGTTCCGCGAGCGGTTCACGGTAAGTGTCGAGAATAGCAGCGATAGGAAACTAAAAATAAGTGCAATACTTGAAAAGAGTAATTGAAGTGTGAAGTGTTATGTTATATTTTCAGTAATTCAATAAAGTTGGTAAATCCTATCAAGCTCGCCCCTTATTATGAAGCTATATTCCTTTGCAACCATTGGTGATAGGTATGGAATAGATAAAATTATTCTGATGAGAGAGAACTGGGGTGGATTCAGTGGTCGTAACTAAAAGAGCAATTAATTACGACGAAATGGCGGCAGAGGCAAATAACATTGAGTACTTCAAATCACAGCAAAAAAAAAAGAAAATTGATGTAGAAAAAGAGAAGGAAAATTGATGAAGAAAAAATGGAAGGGAAAGAAATGAAAGAACGGGAACGAAAAAAAATTTGTAAGTAGTAGAATAAGAAAGAGGCCAGAAAAACAAAGATGGAAGGAAATGATAAATAATAGTAAGAATGAGAAAGCAGAAGATTCAGTGATCGTGACTAAAAGAGCAAGTATTTACGACGAAATGGTGGCAAAGGCAAATACCATTGAATACTTGAAATCACAGCAAGAAAAAAAGAAAAAATTTGATGTAGAAAGAGAGAAGGAAAAATTGATGATGAAAAAATGGAAGAAAAAGGAATGATAGAACGAGAACGAAAAAAATGAGGAAATAGAAAAATAAGAAAGTGGCCAGAAAATATAAAGATGGAAAGAAATTGAAAATAATAGTAAGAATAAGATAGGAGAAGATTCAGTGATCTTGACTAAAAGAGCAAGGCATTACAATGAAATGGCGGCAAAGGAGAATATCATTGAGTACTTGAAAAAATGGAAGGAAAAGAAATGAAACAACGACATCGAGAAAAAATGAGGAGTAGAAGAATAAGAAAGAGACCAGAAAATCATTAAAATGTTAGGAGATGAAAAATAATAGTTAGAAAGTATTAGAAAGGTGGAGAAAATAAAATAGGCAAGAACAGGAAAGGAAAAGAAACACGTCGAGAATAACACGGAATGCAAATGAAAGAGAAACATAAAGAGAAGAGTAGTTAGCTAGAGCATTAAGGAAGAAATGAATTATAAGAACGCAAAGGATAGATAGAAATAAGAGAGATGAAGATAAAAGAAGAGAGAGAATAAGAACCGAGATTCAAATGGAAAAAAAAGGCGGGATGCTAAAGTATTTTCAACAGCATAGATCGAGAATACCAATGGCATATCAAAAGTAAAACAAAACAAACCTGATGGGATTAGACATGAAGTCAAGAACGTCTGGTATAAAATGCAGACATGCGGACTATTGCAGATTATTGCTGCCTTCTGGAAACTAATCAAAATCAGTTTTCAACCCATAGATTGACTTTGCTTTAGAGTTACTCAGTTTAGTTTCATATGCAAAAATGAATTTTAACTGCCTTGTTGCTGGCTGGATCGATATTAAGAATAATTCTCACCGCCGGATATCCCAACTACAAGAAGTCTGGCTAGCCTTCGAGTTATAGAGAAAGTTCCAATATCAGGTATTACATCGTTTTCAGTGTAACAATAACATATAAATTTAGTCATAGCGACATACCGACCAAACATATTTTCAGCAATCAGTGCATATAGTGTCCTTTGAACTGATGTACCTCTGTCACAGATTCATATCTCTCCTGGTTTATTACTACCCCGATACTTATATAGATCCTTATCAAACTGTTTAAATTCCCTTCTCTAGGTATTCCAGTGGACAACACAATCGTCTACCTTCTAGATAATGAGTTTCGACCTGTGAAATCCGGTGATATAGGAGAATTGTTTGTTTCTGGATCCAACCTAGCTGCTGGTTACGTAAACGGAAGAGATCCTGAAAAATTTTTAAAAAATCAATTAACCATCGACCTAACATACGCGAGACTTTATCGCACGGGAGATTTCGCCCGATTGGAAAAAGGGGTGCTATTTTATGAAGGAAGAACGGATTCACAAGTGAAAATCAGAGGCCACAGGGTAGATATGATGGAGGTGGAGAAAGCTGTCAGTTCCATAGATGGAGTAAGTTGATAACTGTCGAAATTTCTAATGAATTTAAACTTCTTTTCATGAGAAGGAAAATAATAATCAGTTACCTCCCTCATGATTTGGAACAATTGTCTCATTTTCAATGTTTTACAAAGTTGTTCGGTTATTTCATCATTGTCATACTATACAAAATATCCTGTGTCATCTCCCGCTTTCCTGCAAATCGTAGACCAAAAATATTTATTTTTTTCTCCCTATTAGCCTGGAAAAAGACCATCATAACATTTTGCTCTCTTACCACTGATTGTTCTGCATCTTTATCATAAGTCAAGTACTCTTTGAAACATGACACAGCCTCTGTGTACACTAACTGATAAAATCAACTGTAAATCTCCATTATATAGGATACGCAAAAAAAACTTCAATGTGAGATTTCCACTTAACAATTTACAAAATCAAGATACGCGTTTCGCTATGCAGTAGAATCTTCAGGCGACACAATATTGAAGCTAATAATATAAGGCGTCAGTAGTGTGACGCCTGGAGATGCTATTGTGAAGCGCGGTTTTGCGAATTCTTGTGGAAATCTAACATTCAAGTGTTTTTTTTTCAATTCATTTTAATGAATTTCCATCAAGTATCTGTTAGTTCTATCATACCGTTATATAGGGTTTCACTAACACCGCCACACCTGAGGAAGTTATTGTATTTTAAACATTTACAAAAAACCGTATCGGTTAGGTTAGGTTAGGTCCAAAGTGAGTGGGTCTATTCGACCCTTCACCGCAACCCGCAAGGGTTTATTGTGGCTCACACCCATTCATACTCGATCAAATAAACCCAGCTTCTTAACGGAGCCGATTACTTTGTATGGTGAGTGGTCTTTCAGGTCAGATGATAAGAGTACGTCTCTGTCGAACTCTAAAAACCTGATTCGGTCCCCAGCGGGACAGGCACAAAGTATATACTCTGCTGTTTCATCGTTTATGAGGTAGTCGGATAGTCAAGTTGCAACATTTCCACCTTGATACCCGCGACAACCTTTCCATATGAGGGTTTTTTCACGTCAGCTACACCTGACGATGCCTTAGATTCAACCGTGCAGGGCTTTTCGCCTATGGTTTTGGTGAATCATCACTTGGTCGCAAACGTTTGCTAACCTACTCATGGGGGGTTTGTTCCTCCACCTGAGGCAGATTCTGCATACGCCGCTCAATAATTTGGAGCAAGGCGGTTTCATAAGGTACCCTGTTCTTGAGGAGACGACTCAGTCGTTTCCTGGCTGCACCACCAAACCTTTTTTTAGGTTCAGTTATTAGATCAGGAGTTAAAGAGTTGAGAAGCTCTCGCTCGTGATCTTAATTTACAGGGAGATCAGTTGGAGTCGTAAGCTCGACATCCATCTCCTCTGTAGACTCGCTCTTGATTTAAATTTACAGGGAGGTCAGATGAAGTCGTAAGCTCGACATCCATCCACTCTGTAGACTCAGTGTCAGAAAGAAGTTTTTAGTTTACTTTGTCCCACGAGTAGCTAGGGAAAGAAGGTCAATCACGGCAGAGCTCCCCATTACCGTGACAAGGTAATGCTACGACGAAAGGGCGCCCGATATCTCGAAGGTTCCGTAGAGACAGCTAATAGGCTCAGTGTCATTCATCCTCCATCCTCTTGGCACGTATTCCCATACCTTAGGATTAAGCTATCGTTAGGGAATAACAGAACCACGGGGGTACGTGGAAGCAGGCATCCGATGGCCGGTTTGCTCAACCCCCACATCCCAAGCTAATGCAATCGCCAAAAACAGCATGCACAGTAGTTCAGGCAGTGAAAAATGAACAAGGGCAGCCAACCCATCAAAAATCGTATCACTCAGTGTTTATATGGACTTCCATAAAGTACCAGTCAGTTTTATCCAACCTCTTCTGTAGTCAGTCAACTTTACAAACAAGTTTTCCAAGATTGTATCCTCTCATGGAACGACGAGACATCAAAATCTGTCTTGAAAATTGAGGTTAAATGTTCCAAGTGATCGTACAGATTTTTTTGCAACTATGGCGAATTATATATGATGAATTACTCCTCCTATCTTTATCCTTTGTAATAAGGTAAACTATACCTATTTATCTCACTGAATTAATGCCTAACCTAACAAAAAAGAAAAAATATGAATTCTCATTTGAAATCATTATCTCAATCAATAACATTGACAAACAACCATTTACCTTCGGAACTATAGCCAACCTCGAGAAATAATCGTATAAAATTCATAAATGGCATTCTTGATCCCAATGCCTGGATTGTAACAGCTTAAATTAGTTACAGTATCAAAGCCGCCATTGAAAATAAAGTTAAACCTGATTTCCATCTACTTCAAAACTACAGCTTTTTGTTCTATCTGCCGTCAAATTTCACATGAATCACATTAAATTTATTCGGTATCTGAAGGAAGCTCGATTGGGTAACAAGATCAATTTTTTCTTAAAAAAAACAATTGCTTTTTCTTCAGAAAAATTATAAGATCACTAAACTAGTTAACTTTATCCAGTAAGCTGACGACACCGCCTTGATATGAAGGCAGATACCATGGCAGATAGAAAATATCTTTCCTGGTTTCGAACAAATATACTATAAGTTTATGGGAACAAAAAACAAATTTATATTTTTCATTGAGTTTTTATAATGCAGGAGCCAACAGTGTCGTTTCAGATCACAACTAGTTCATGAACATTACTTATATAATACAATTTTTTTTAGTTTATGTATACAAAGCCCTCATCAACTAATCATCATAATTTCTTGCTATTTTTTTAAATAAAATAATTTATGGTTTCAGGTAGAAAAAGCGATAGTTCTCTGCTATAAACCTGGAGATATTGATCAAGCTCTGTTGGCTTTTGTGAAGTCTAACAATTTGCAGAATGAGCGCGGAATCGAGAATGCGATCAAAGAGAAACTGACATCGTATATGGTTCCCCAAGTGATTCTAATCGAGAAAGTCCCTCTTCTCGTCAACGGAAAAATTGATCGGCAAACCTTGTTGAAATACTATGAGAATACAAACAATAATGGTGAGTTCATTAATCTGATTGGAAATATTACATTTGTCAATTGAAAAATTGAGGAAAATCTACGATTCAACCACTGCATCAATCGACATTGGACATAAAATCATTAATCTTGCTATAAATTGATGGATATAGCCGTTACTACGTGGTAGGAAACCATAATGGAGAGAAGAAAATTGAAACCTTCTATGTTTTTTACCACTTTTATTTGTAACTAACGTTACTGCAGTTTCGTCCTATAAGGACATTTTCAAACGTCCTCATAGGACGAAACTGCAGTAACGTTAGTTACAATTAAAAGTGGTAAAAAACATAAAAAGTGTCAATTCTTTTTTCTTCATTAATCTTGCTCTTTGTTATTGAGTTCATCGAATCACTTAGTACATATGTTAAATTTCTTCAGCAGGAACTGACAACTAGGTATCATCCTCAGTCCTCATTTGGAGTTTGTTACTACAACAAAGATTTCATAAAATCATGATGGATGATGGTATTCGTAGAGTAAATATATAAAAAAAACAGTTTTTCTTCATGTTCAGAAAATTAAATCACTTATAATAATCAGTATGTAATTAAATCACGTGGATACGAACACCAATCAGAATGCATGATGTCATTTGTTCATTAACATCATCGCTCTCAAAGGCTAAGTTTATAGTGAATTCACAACTACGTTTGGAAACAATTCTGAGAAAGAAAATTATACTTATGACTAAGTATAAAACAAATTCAATTTCCTCGAGAAACTTACTGGAATCAAAAAAGAACACTCAATCATCGAAAAAGTCCATCAGAGAAAGTTATTCAAAATCTTCCCTTATATCCATAATTCAAATATTATCCAAATCTGAAATAATTTACAGAATGTATCAATTCAACTTTAACTGACTCTGTATCCGAATACTTTCCTTCATAATGTAGAGTTACCGAAGATGTTTTTATCACGAAATAAATTCATATTTTTCGAAAAAAACCATAGCTCACTGGGATAACAAAATCACCATAATTTTGAAAAGAGTCATATTAGGTATTTTCTCATACAAAACTTATGTCAAAAATTTGTTTGAAAAGTTCTCAAACACCCATAATAATTGTATTAGAAATAGTTAGTGAAACTGATGTTTGAAACGAATGTATCTCTTTCAAACAAATGAAAACGTAGGTTTTGCTGACATAAAATAGTCAACAAAATATATAGGAATTTTTTCCGAACCTTCAAATAGCACTTTCTCGAATATTATCCAAATCAAAAACAAAATACACCTTTCTTGTAGAACGACAGATTAGATAGTTTTTTTTTCTAAAGTTCTGTCCAACAATTCGAGTTTCATGAGACTGAGATAACTGCCGTCACACCTTTAACATTTCTGATATTGGAATATTGAGAACACGTTCAACAATTCTTAGTTGAACTTAAAAGAAGTGACGTTAAATGTGCCCTCAAAAACATTGAAATTCGTTTACATTCATTAAACTGTGAGTTCATTTCTTATATTCAGTAAATATGCATTTTAATGTTCAAGTAGTTACAGAAAAGCTGCTGAGGATTTCAACAGGAGGCATCCCAATCGTAGAGCTGTTTCACATGAGACGGTATCTGCATGAGATGAACAACAACAGGCATCTAGATGCCTATGAGAGCTTAGAAATAAGTCAACATACTAATATTATGAATAACGATGGTGTGCTGCCAATAGCTAATAGTTTATTACATATTGTAACAAATTACTGTCTTAAACTAATTCATTTCTAACAAAATTTCATTATCACAAACTAATTTATTTACAACACTTAGCACTATTTGAATTCCTGGTTTAACCGCTCGAATCACTTTCTGAATTCAACTGCCATTTCTGGACGAGAAGTGGACTTTATATATTGGTAACGATCGTTCTAGATTTCTCTAGTGGTTTCGGTACTCGACTAGAATTTAACCGGCGGTTTGTCGACTGCATTCCTTTTGCGGTGATGGCATGTGTTTATTCGCTGGCTGAGATATCGGTCAGGGCGGCTTCAGATTCATTACAATATCTTCTTGAAATGATGAGGCAACACTGTTAAATTAATTTTAAGACAATTAAGACACAGGTAAGACGCAGAGGTATCTATGATATAAAGTTTAAACTTCCTCTTGGACCTGGGATTGAAACACGTGTTGAGGTGTTAAAAATAAGGGTTTAGTGTAGGATAGAACTTCAGTAATATCCACTATTTATTTTGACAAATGAACTTAAAAATTGGTTACAGTTCATACATCAAATTTTTCTTTGAGAGTCTATTTCGGAATTTGTGGATTCATTTCAATTCTATTAAAATTTTCCAGATGACTCCAAACCAGAAGTAGAAATCGACTACGAAGGTGTACCTCCCCATCAAATGGAAGCCGCTAAAGTACTATTTGAAACAGTTGGATATGTTTTGAACAGATCGGCAAGATTTGCAATTTCAATAAAGGCCAATTTCTTTGAAATTGGTGGAAACTCGCTAAACTCCATATACACTATATCCAGACTGAATGAGCATGGATATCAAATCAGTATGTGTCTATTTTTTATTTAAGAAATTACTAATTGAAACTTTTCCACACTAATCTAATCATTTTCAGAAATCAGCGACTTTCTTTCTGCCGTGGACTTTGTAGAAGTTTTGTTACGAATGACATCAGATACGAAAATGAACAATCAACTAGATAGTTTTTCTAGCGAACTGCTACACCCATCACATAAGAACATTGTTTCAGAGTGAGTATCAAAATAATAGTTGATTTATCGAAATATTTCTACAGACCATCATCATCTGAATGAATTATTTTGAAATATAATAAATTATTGTACTATGATAAAAATCGCTATTCAATCAACACAATGTTGATTATTGGGAAATCATGATTATGAATGCCTAATGAAAGTTAAACCAATGAAACTGTTAAAATATATTTTGAATCAAATCAAGAATCAAATCGTAAATTTCACAATTATTTTTTCAATCACTTCTGAATAACATAGCCTTCTACTGTGTAAAAAGTTATACATATTTGAATAATTTTCATTGTTTGCATTCAAAATAATGTAAGAGTACATATAATATAGTATAATACAATATACATAGTAATATGTTTTTGGAACTTTAGTGTTTCTTGTGCATCCAGGTGAGCAAAAGCTAACCTTATCCATTGATCATTTGACGAAGTTAATTCAAACTGATTTCAACTGTTGGTACTTGGATAATGGGTCTATGGGTGGTCACCCGGATATAGTTTTCAGCCAGTTCAAAAATATATTATCGTCCTCTTGATTGAAATTGAATTTTGAAAAATGTGAAATTCTTTTTTTTGACGAAGTCAATTCAAACTGATTTCAACTGATGATACTTGGATAATGGGTCTATGGGTGGTCACCTGGATATAGTTTTCAGCCAGTTTAAAAATATATCATCGGCCTCTTAATTGAAATTGCATTTTGAAAAATGTGAAATATTTTTTTTTAATTCCCAAGATGCATCAATACTAGAAAAGTTCAATAGTTCAACTCCTGGAATTAGAACGATAAATAGGCAGAAATTGACTCTACTTGGTGCACAACTTTGAGATGAATCTTTGGCTGAATGATTGAGACAAAAAACGACTACCCTAGATTTGATGGCGTCTCATATCATAAGCATTCCTGCTCACATTGAACACTTTTTACCAACGTACCCTTGAGCAATTCCTTATCTAATGTATACATTCCTTAAGGAGTACCCTTCATGGCGATGTTGAAACGAATTAGCCCAATTTAATCATGAATCCAAGCTTCATTTCCGGTGAATTTGGCTGGTATTGGCATTCGATAATCATTTTCACTTGCTTTACCGGTTTCTTTCTCCTCCTTTAATAGTGTTGAGCATCTGATTCATTCTATTTTACCAAATTTCTTCTCTAATATTGATGATTCATTTTATTTGGGAGGTGAAAATTAAGGATTGAAAAATCAAATTCACCAACTACTGATAACAAAGGCTGTCAGAAATTAGGGGATTTTCCTTTATTGCGCATACCAATATCCGTTCTTTGATTTAACTGCTGGGAATCAGCCGAGATGATGGAAAACATCCTGATGGAATATCTCTCATTTCTTGGAGACATGGAAAACCTTTGGTATGGGACTTCACTTGAACTGATACCTTAGCTCACTCTCATCCCAATTTAACTTCGCAAATGGCTTGTTGCACCGCTGAATATTCTGAAAAAATTAGACTGCGGAAATACAATTGTCTGAAAGATCGATATATTTTCTATCCAATCGCCACCATTATACCCCCAGCTCCATATCTGACACTGAATACTGGACTACAATATTATTTACAAAGACCATGGCAGAGGATCAACCCTGGATTCCTTTGAAAATTTTCAATAATTCGAGGTTACCTCCAGCCACGAGAATACATTTCTCATTTCCCAAATTTTACACCTCTCTGAAGATAACGCTAAGTGCCAACAAGTTCCGGAATCATAAACGGTATCATAAATTCAAATTCCTTTACATACTAGCAGCCCCTAGCCTTGCCATCATTGCTACAGAGGTATATGGAATATTGTTAATCAAATTCCGTCACACCCTACGATACCAGAAGATCTCTGAAACAACACCAGTACTAGCTACCAGGACTCAAGTTTTATCCCGCCCTCATGAAAGTTACAATCTAAATCCACAGAGAATCGACAACATTCATGGTAGGTCAGCGACACTCCATACCGCTGACGAAGATGAAACTTTCTTTTTTATTATCAGTCTGATTTGATACCTCTTGATTGTAACATGTGTTTTTAAACCAAAGAAGGCTCAGGATGTGGGGTTTACTCCAGATCACTAAGCCTAAAGGATTAGGTGGAGAATGGAAAAAAATACCAGCGTGGTTCAAACAGAACTGGCCGGTATCTCAATCGCCACAGAAGAAATAATCAGGAAAGGAATTTCTGGCAAAAACATAAAAATCTGCACTGATAGTAGACAAGCCCTATTCGCCTTGAACACACAACGTATTACCTCAGGGCTAGTACTAGAGTGCCACCAAGATTTATCCACAACCTCGGTAGATAATAACATTATCCCCAGGTGGCACGACAGAAGTAAAGGTAATCGCATTGCCGACTCTTAAGCCAAGGAAACGGCTGGACTAAGAATTTCAGGACCCAGTGACACCTACGGCCTGATGACTTCGACAATTGCGGAACTAGCCAAACGTCACACCCATGCTCAATCCCTAAAGAGATGGAAAGGAATCAAATGATGCAGTCTTTTGCCGGAATCACCCTGAGCGACCCTGGGAAGCTGGCGCCGAAGAAATATCTGGCGATGACCAGGAAAAACCTACGCTTAACACTAGGATTTCTGACAGGCCACTGTCGACAATGGAAAAACTTCTATATTAAGGGGCTAGTAGACACAACTCTATGAGATGGAAAGGAGATGAAAAGGAATCAAATGATGCAGTCTTTTGCCAGGATCACCCTGAGCGACCCGGGGAAGCTGGCGCCGAAGAAATATCTGGCGATGACCAGGAAAAACCTACGCTTAACAGTAGGATTTCTGACTGGCCACTGTCGACTATGGAAAACCTCTATATTATGGGGCTAGTAGACACAACTCAATGCAGGATGTGTGAACAAGAAGATGAAAGTGTCAGGCATGTATCATGCGAGTATCCGGAGTTATTGTCAATAAGAGAGTGTTTGTTCGGCGAGTCTTGGCCTACACCTGTCGATATAAAAGAGATGTATCCTAGTGAGCTGGCCACCTTCCTGGAAAAGACAGGATGGTCGATGACCTAGAAGAACAACACCTCGGGAGGATGTACAATGGATCATATGTGGCCTAAGTACTGTGGACCTACACTCACCCTCACTACTCTACAGATACAGATGTGTTTTTAAATGAAATACACTTTTTAAAAAGTATTTTTCGAAAACCAATCCTTAACTTATATTTTTGGATCATAAACGTTATTTACAAATGGTTATAGATATACCGCGAATAGCCATTGGCTTTGCATGTAATCATTGTTTATTTGTATACTTCACCCCAAACCAAGTCATTCAACCTCCTAGTTTGGTAGGTATTTTTGATTCTTAAAAATACATTACTATAATAAACTAAAATTATATAAGAAATTGAAAACGTCGAATACTTCAGAAAAATAATTTGATTAGAATTCAAAAAAGCGACTCCAAGATTCTTATTAAAACCAGATATCCATCCGTAATATTGAATGTACTCACGGTTCATATCGCATCTCTTTTCTTGCACTGTTTTATTTTTGTTATAGTATGATCGCAGCAAGTTTCTACGAGAAGGCTGACTTAGAGCAATGGATCAAATCAGATGTTTCACTTTCTGATTACTACGAACTTATCGACAAACTCTGGGAACCTTTATTAGAGAAGAAATTGAGTTTCATTATAAAAACAAAGTCGGGAGAGATTATCGGAACAGCTTTGAACTTCGATGTCAGAGATGAGCCAGAAGTTGAGCTGCAGTCAAAGTTGACTGTCGTTTTCGAATTTTTGGAAGCTATCGAAGGACCAGTCAGGTAAATATTTTTTTGAAAAAATCTTGGTGATTTCAGTCACATTTACCACTTTCCGCTACTAGAAATTTGTTGAAGATATGGAGAGGTGGCAAAGCGGTAACAAGGTTAGGCAATTTGAAGTTTTTCGAATGCAACTTCCTATTTTCTCTGTGTTGATCAAATTTTAAAGACTTTTCAGGTACATTCTTTCGACTGTATCGTTATTTAAATTGAAATTCGATTTAATGTGGTTCGACATACTTCCACTCTTAACATAAGATTTGTTTCGTCAGTCTCAAATAAACCCATAACAAATCAAAATTAAATCATTGTACTGTCCTGTCAGTCCACTCAAAAATTATTGTACTGTTAAATTATCAACGCTTGAGACAACTATTGTATCGCGAAACTCGTGTCGCGGTTTTTGTAAAACCCTTTATAGTGAAAATTGAACAATAAACTGTATTAATGAGTTTCAATTATGGAATTGTTAAATTACTAGACGACTCAGTTATTGGGATTGATCATCGAAGTTAACGTACAGCAAGCATAGTGTCACACAGGGATAGTCAACAGGTAAAATAGGAATATATACAAACATGTGTGTTAGAAATCACACGTAAAAAGGTAAGACCTCGTTAGTCCTTAGCTCGCACAAGTTTTTCAACTTCTGAGAGTTGTCGTTCGTATGGGGTCGACAGCTAATTAACGGAAAAACAGAACAGACAGATTGAACCGTTGATGAAACTTTCCAAAAACATAAGAATGCAGAATCAAAAGAGTCCAAAAGTAGTTCTAACTTTTTGAAGGGAGGGGCTAATTTGTATGTTGTAATTGGAAAATTAGTCAATCTTAGCAATTGACTCTTTTTTTTTGGTATTTTTACCCTAAGAAATGAGAAAAAATAACTGTTCTTCAGAAAAATATTTTGGATTTTACACTTGAAAAATTAGCTACTTATTTAACAAATAATGTAGATGCCAATTTAATGGAATGGGAGTAATTCATGAAACTACAACGATCATATATGAGCACGAAAAGATGTTTGATTGGGTAATATATATTCGAAAATCTAACTTATAACTCAGTGGATAAAATATCAAGATATATTCAAGGGTAGTTTGTATGGAACTTTCGTATTAAAATCATTCCGAGAAGGTGTCAGTAATTTTTTGTATACCTCATAGACGAAAAGTACTTCGTAAAATTAACTTTTTCGGGATGCGTATAAGGTGGCATTTGTTTTGAGTCAAGTAAATATATAGGTATTTCCAAGAACTATTTGAATAAATCCGGGTATTCAATTTATACCACCTGTTCAAGAATTGAAGAAAAACTCATCAAAAACATTATTTTTTTCAGGGACAGCCAACTTTCTCCAGAAAAAGGCGAAAATTTGCATTCATTCATGATGGCCACCCACTCTTCCCTGACACCCAAAGAAAATGTAGCTGTGATGCAATTCATCGAAGGAGAAGTTTTGAATCTTGCTGAAAGAAGACATTTCAAAGGAGTTTTCACGACCAATACCAACCCTTTGACCCAGGTAATTTCAAGTAAACTTCATATAATGTTAGTTATAAAATAGTTGGTGGACATTACTACTTCAAAATTTCAATTTATTTCCGATTCTGATTTCTTGTTATTTCAACTTACATGCTTTCATAATAGGAAACTGTCTTCAAATCGACCTATAATATTATCTCACCTATAAAGCTACAGATAATATCACAATAACATTCAATATGTTATTGTGTTTTTCAAAACTAAATGAAATAAATGGTTTTTCAATAATCATTAACATTTTTGAAAGTAAAAATGTGACAGGATTTTCCTGTAGTAATTGTGTTTTGTCCTTAGATTAATTTGTTTTTGCAACATTTTCCACCTCAATATGCGAAATCTCTCTTTGTGCTGTAGTTCTGGATTTACTGAATATCTGTGAACATCATTTTCAAAACCTATTTTTTCCGATGAAAGTGTTTCATAATTGCAGTTTCTTGAACTGGTTTCTTGAAACACCATCTTAGCTCTCCCAGATGCTGCTCCTCATATAGTGCAAAGAGTGGTAAAAATTTCCACATGACACTTCTTTGTGTCATATTTTCCACAACACTTAATTCATCACAAAATCTTCTAAACTTCAAAAGAAAGATAGAGCTACGATCTGATGCTGGTCAACCATGGTGGCCGAAACCTAACTATACTAAGTGACAGTTAAACCCAAGTTGGTTTGGTAACCAAAAATGAAACGAGCGAGAGTGTCATAGAAACTGGTCTGTGAATATCGTGAAGAACTTTGGGCAGGAATACACGACTCAAAACTGAGTTTCGAGACACGCGGTTATCACAGGTAACCAAAAAAGGCAGAATGAGTGTGGTAGTCACAGATCGTAAACTCTGGTCCTGACCGGAAGTACTGAAATCTATAGTACCTACAGGTCTCGAATATTCCCCCACTTGAACACTGGATGAGATTAGTTTTTTCAATGTTTCAGCCTTTTTATTCCTCAATCAACTCATACAAAATGTGAAACTTACGATAAATGGAGGAAAAAATTAAATACATATCAATAAAAACATCACGAAGATATGTAGACCATATCTGATGATTCTTTCAGATACAAACTAAAAGGAAAAATCCATCCAAAACAACTACTTTTGATAAGGAATATTGAATTTTATGAAAATACCCCCTTTTCTCATTCAATTTTTACATCAAACATTCATAACGGAATTGAAACAGATATGATACACAGAAGCGCACCATGTCGTAGCAACTGATGTGAATTTCAAGAAGAGTTTTCAATTTCTAAATAGACTTCTAGGAATTGAAGTTGGAACGAGTAGTCTTCAACTCATCATCAGCATCATTTTGGAACCTTGCAAACAGTTTGCGACTATGGCAGAAATCAATGCCTGGGATCTTTGGTCACTTACTTCCCGGTTTATGAAAGAATTATACGTGTCTTCGAACAAACTGATTTCATATGTGAAGGAACTTTCTAATCTCCCATACACACGAGTATTCAATATTTTGAGTTTTTATTACAGAACGTGTCGAGAATTAGACAAGAAATACTACAAACCAATGTTGAAAGTTAGTCACTTGGTACGCTCGTGAATCTTTTAGGTAGTTTTTTAAAAGTACCGGTATAGCTTTATAGGTAGAATCAGAGCCTTATAAAATCGAAATCTATCGAAAACACTGTTCCTACACCAGAATGTAGTATCAGGGAATGACTCAATTCATCTCCTGATTATGCTAACTTTGTTATCCTAACGAGAGACTGTTTCTTTTGTTTTAGCTCGAAAAATGTGTTCTAAATAATACCAGTATAACGTTTATGCAGTAAAAATATTCAGTAGTGCATGTATCCTCATTAACGATTTCTTTCATTACTTTTCAATAACTCGTTTTTTTTTTCAACAGCAATTGGGATACATCTACAACTATCAAGTTTTGTCTGACATCCAAGTGAACCAGTACGTTGCTAGTGACAACACAAAACCATTTGCATTAGCGCCTGATGACCAAAGGGCAATAGTATCGTGGAAATCAATAGTGTAATTTTTGATCCGAAAATTATTTCATTATTGACCATTTTATCAAGTCCAGAATATGATCTGAAATAGAACAGATTGATCTGTTATAATTATTTTCATTACTGTAGGTAGAGAATAAACTCACTGGTAGAAGCAATCAAGTAATCGTCAATCTGGATACCAACAGGAGAGAACTGAAACTCTTAGTTATATTTTTTAATATATTTGTATAATTATTGTTTTTGTCAACTTCAAAAATATTTATCTTCCTGAGTTACTGTATAATATTGTAGATACAAAGATGTAAATAGGTTTATTGTTAGAAATAAATAAAAACGTTCCTCATTAAAATTTTTCAGTTTCTTTTAATTGCCATAAACTCATTACTTTGTATATCTAAGTATACTAAAAGTTATAACTGCGGTGACACATATATTGGTTGATTCATATACCAAACTTTCATTTGATCTTTCATTTTAAAAAACTGGTATTTTCTCTGTTTATACTACAAAAGTTTTACATTGCTTTGATTTAGTTAGACATTTCATGTTTATACTACAAAAGTTTTAAATTGCTTTGATCTGGTTAGGTCCATTTTGAATGTACCTACTCCATATTACATCAAACAAAGATAACCTCATTGAAACTTCAAAATAACTTTTTAAAATATGTAGGTTATGAAGTGGAATAGTAATGGTGAAAAAATGTCATTCTCTTCGATAGCTTGACATGTCTACTAAAGAAATACCATATATATTGTTGAGTATGAGTGAGCTGTCATGTTTGACGTATACAGGCACTAATATTTGTCTTTAAAATACTGTCACGTTTTGCTTTCGGAAAGTTATTACGTTCATTAAAGTTTTTATTACACATTCATAAAATGTACAGTGCATATACTGTACTTATATGTAATTTTCTTGGAATTTGCCCAGACAAGATTGGCGGTACTTTAATTTGAACATTGTTCTCATCACCCTTTTTTGAATTCTAAATATATTCGAGATGCCACGCAGCTACAATCCCCATAATAATATATCAAATTTTGCGGAAGACTCAAAATTTGCAGCATACATAATTTTCAATGATTTTTTGTTAAGATAAGTAATAATAATCCTTACACTGTAGCAGATTTGATACAATTTTTTTCCTAAATTTATAATGTGGGTATGCCAGTGAAGATTTGATCATCTGACAAATGAACAGTTGGTGACTCAATTCTTTATTGAAGGGTTTGTTAATATTCAGAATTGAATAAAACATTTGAAAATGATAAAAAAAGATTGATTACGCCATCTTTGTTGAAAATACCAAGTTGATGCAAGTTTATAGTATGAATTTTATATTAATAGTTGAGAATTTTATGGAATACAGCTGCTGTAAATTTTTCAATTTATCCCAATATATAATTTACCTCTCCGAATATTTTTTTAGCTTCAATTTCATCACTACCCTTTCCCTCAGAAAAAACAGTATTTAGAAAAAAACTAATTTAATGAGAATGTATATTTACATCAACTGAACTTGAAATAAATATCTAGATATTGGGCTTAAGAGTAATTCACATAAAAAGAGGAGGTTACATTTGGAATAAAATAACTTCACAAATACGTCATACACTGCAACATAATCATTTCCCACCAGAATTGTTATACTGATCTACAATTACAATTCAGGAAAGACATAAAACTAAATTATAAAAGAAAAACTTATACTAAATTATTTTTTTGCAGCAGCCTTCGCATTATTCTTTACTGGTGTTTTGCCCTTACTATTTGTTGCAGTTTTGGCTTTTTTTGCTTTTGGTTCTTCTTCCTCGTCTTCTTCCTCCTGAAAATATAGAATATAACCATGAAAAGAATTTCAATACTGTTTCAAATTCACACCTTCAACTTTCCATTTGATAATTTTCGTTTTCTATTAGTATTACCTCCCTCCTCCTAAAAACAGGAATTTTATGAATAAACCTTAAAATACTTTCCCCAATAATATTTAGAAATCACTGAAACAATCATCAGTGTAACAGTATTTGTGTGTAAAATTGAAGGAGTGGGTTTTATGGTAAAAAAAAATAACACAATTATTCTATTTTGACATTCATCAGTAGGTATTTCCAATGGCAGTGATAATGACACAATTCTAGGTTAATGGCAGATGTTGTTGGCAACGTCAATGAACTTTACAATATCTTAATTATTTCTGTCCAAAACATATTTACAGTATGTTAATTAATATTTATGGCTTTCACTTTTATTGAAATATCAAATATAAATTATGTTAAGTTATGTGTCTGAGTTAAAATCTGGTTGCTTTACATCATGAGAGTAATTTGGAAATGAATTGGATCCAATTTCAATCAATCAGTGACATATTCAATTAATATAAATGTATTTCTAGCATTAATCCGGTTATCTCATATGCTCAGCTATGATTATATTTCATTGCAATCGGTTTTACTAAAAATTTTGTGATTTGATGCACATTATTAAAATATGATTTTTGTGAAAAAAATTCAGAGAAACTGACCTAAATATATAATGTTTTGTCATCTCAATACTTAAGTAAATTAACAAATGTGACAAGAATAAAGTGATTTACAAAATACCTTATAGAATAAAGAAAATAACTAGTCTAATTTCTACTAAGTTTATTATTTGTTATGACTGGTTGCAGTATATTAGACCATTTTCAAGTCTAATAATCCAAAACAGGTTGTAACAAATATTAAACTTAGTAGAAATTAGACAAAAGTTATTTTCTTTATTCTATATTCAATATGAATTTCTACAAAACAATTAGGTAATCAATTGAACAAAATACCTTATACCTTAAATAGATTGGTTTCAGAAAGGTTCTAATACCTTACAACCATTACAACCAAATGAAAAATTAGTAGTTACTGAAATATCTAAAAAGTTACTTGGGAAATTATATGCCAGAAGAAAGATTGAATGGTTCAACAGAGCTATACTTCCATAACAAAGTAGATAATAAATTAGGAAAAATAGATACAATGGCAACAGATAAACCATGGATTTACTGGACTTGTTTGCCTCAATGAACAAAAGCTAAGAACACAGAAGGAGTTGAGCATATGGAACATATATGGAACATATGGAGCATATTGAACCATGAATCCTGAACATTATGGGGTAAATAGCTCTTTGCACTATGATATTGCTTGTATAATACTTCATTGACATGTATGTATGCACAATTGTCAACATGTTAGTTGACAATTGCATTGAACCCTCAACTACATATTTTTTTCAAAGACAAATTTTTTAGATCAACTGATGCTCCTCTCAACAAATTATATTTCCTTTTCAAAAGTTGTGCAGTAATAACAGCTCATCAAGCATGCAAAACAACTTTCCAGTGAAATTTGTATTACCAGCATCACACTTTGAGAAAACATAACAATAACATATTTTATTCCTTGCTGTCTGAAAAGTTAGCGTGACATAACATTCCTAACCCAGTTGTGTCTACTGTCCTTCCATAAGGACATACATAAACCAGAGTTCTGTAATGCGTTTCGGCAAAGTTTGAGTGAGTGTTCTTAGATGGCGCCAATTGAATTCGATATTCTGATGTATTGTTCATAATAATACAGGCACAGTTAGCAGTAAACAGGTTATGAACGAGTCATACAATTTATGGACACACCACTCGACTTCATGTTGGTTGGGTGAGTATTGTTGTTTACTCTATCCATACAAATGAGCTCTTTTCGTTATATTTTGTTATAATAACATTATTCATTGAATAATGATATAAAATATCGAGATATTCATTTTTTTGTATTTATAGAGGCAACATTTCTCAGAGTTCTTTCAAAAGAACAGTAGGCAAATAAACGTTTTTTTTTATAGAGGCCTCACTCTGCACGAACTATTGCAATCCCTCGAAGACAGTGATGACGACGGCCACAATGAACTAGCACTAACAGTCTTTTCTCCAACGAATGCTTGTGAGCAAATTAAGTTATTTGCATTGTTGGACAAATAATAGCTGAATTTGTAAGAAATTCTAATAGTTCAGGTAGCAATCAATTCTAAATTCTAAACTTTTTAAATGTAAGATGTCAACCAAACTAAATTCATCAACTATGAACCTTGACTGATTGAGGAGTAACATGTGTATCGTTTCTGAGCATCGTCCCCCACCGTCTTACAGTAGACGCGATGCATAATGACTTACTGCGTTGTATCAAGTTAATGACAAAGTTATATATTATATTGCATACTTAAAACAACAATTGTATCAATTCTTAATGTGCATTTTAAAAAAATAGCCAATTGAATTTTATTCATGGCTCAGTATTTTGCATATAGTAGGTACCACATAAGAGATAGATATATTCTATGGCAGACTTTTATTTAAAACTATTTAAGATAAACAATCTTAATCTTACGGTACATTATCGGCATGTAACTCCAATGGAATAGGTAGCGCACGCCAAGATAGCTCTCAGGGAGCAAGAGTTTTTCTGACTAACTTAACACTTATCGTTATATTATGACCAAAATATCCCAAAGCCATTGTAAATAGTAGCCTACATGTTATTCTAATGTATAAGCTGTATTTACGTGAAGTTTCATCTAAATCCGTTCACACTTTCACATTTATATTAGTAAGTATATAAAATACATGTAGATGTAATGTTCTTTTAGACCCTGAAGTCAAAACTTGCCCCTCAGCTTAACTATTAGATATATGGCCACTGCATAAGTTACTTTTGGTAATAAAAATTACTAAAAATGACACCTTTAAATGATCGTAAGCTGCATTCCTCAATTCTCTTGTGAATTTCATTTCATTGTATACAAGAATATTAAATTGCATTTTTTCCAGTAAACTACATCATAATTGACAAAAAAGCTTCATCTCAATCTTCATACATAAAAATGTTGGAAACTTCCAAACCAAGTTCAAAATCAACTGTACAAATGATGGGTAGATTGGAAACAACTACTTTCAAACATATGAACCCTGGAACTACACAAAAATCACTTTTTCCTATTCAGTTTGTACTTCAAACATTTGTTATGAAATTGGAATATGAATGCTACACAACATAATACATGAAAACAGTAAAAAATTACAAACTGAATTGAAAAAATTCAATTTCCTGCAATGCAATGTTGATTACTTTGAAACCAGTTGATTCAAATGTGCATTTCTTATGAGTGTAATGATGAAAAGTAGAAAGCCAAAAAGCTTGTTCACAAAAACTAACCTATTCTTTTATATTTAAACATATCAAAATTGTTTATAATCTTAAATAACACGTCTAATATGTACTTTTTCATTGGTTCTGTTGGCAGTTTTACAAAACAAACTAGAAATGATTGTGTTATTATATTATTTGAGAACATTTGAAAAAAGAGGAATAAAAGGTTGGCAACATGCAACAGTGAAAAGGTGTCATCTTAGGAATTTTTATTACAAATGAGTTCCCCTAATGGTCAATTTTTTAACAATTTCAACTTCAAAGTGGCCAAATTTAATTAGTCAACAAATCTTTTCGAAATTAAGTGAAAGTTGTTAAAAAAAAATTACCATAACTTCAATAACTATAAGAAAGGAAAAGTAAAAGGGAAAATTCATATACTCACAGCTCCCTCCTCTTCCTCTTCATCGTCCATCATTTCTTCCTCTAATTCATCAAATTCTTCCATGGGACTACCAATTAAATGGTGACCAATAAGATGTAGGGGCCCATTCCCTTGGATCAGCGAAAAAGTTACTGGAGGGTCTGGGAAAGACAAATCAAGCAATACCTGATTGTTTGGACTACCAGCTTTCAGGGTTGCAACTGGAATTTTAACGGAATCTTTCCAAGTCATAGCTTCCACTTGAACTACGTTGACTTCACCTAAAAAAAATAATTAATTTTTACCAAGTCTGAAAAAATTAGCGGAGGAATTTCTTCAAAATGTTATTGTAATTGCATATCTTAAGCATGAATAACTCAATAACAGAAATAGTCAAAACTTTCAGTAAGAGTAATAATGTTCAAACCTTCGGCAGCTTCAGGTCCTAACAAAGCTTGTTTGATTATCAGTTTATGTCCTCCTTGATAATCTTCGGCCCCCTTCGCTTCTGGGTCCCATACTTCGTTATTTTTTCCCGTGAGGGTTAAAGCTGGAAATAAAGTATGAAAACTTTAATAAACAATGACGAACAGTAATGGCGCGCAAATACCGGCTTCCAAAATAATATTACAACTTTAAAAGAAATACGTCGAACTTCGAGAAAATATATAGCTAATACAAACATAAATATTATATACTTACCGAAAAAATATTCATCAGCCATTATTATAGTAAGATGTTATGAGATTTTCACAGAAACAACCGTGAATAACTGACGCCGGCAAACCTTACTGGAAAAGAGAATAAGAGGTTGTTGAGTTGCGTTTGTAATGGCGAGAAACAAGCCGCTGTCGCAATGTTGCCAACGTTGGAGAAACGGACATAAGTTATGGTGTTCGAAAGAGTAAGAGAGGACTATTCTGATTCTTATTCCTTTGGTAGAAAAACGATTGACATTCACTTAAAAAAGTCTGTCTATGACACTTCTCTTTGACAGAAAATTAAAGTAGTTTCCACAAATAAAATGTTTACGTTTACAATCTGAAAGTTAGGAATGCAACGTGTAGCTTTTAGCGTTGATACATTAAACATTTTTATACATTTTTCGTGTGTTTTTTAAGAAAAATTTGTCGAAAACTCAATTATTTTTCATTGTTTTCTTCCAATAGTCAGAATAATACAAGACTACCAACAGGACGTCGATTTCCTAAGATATAGGAATGTACTGTCTAACTCAATATTGACTTCAGTAATAATAATACCTGCGATAAAATTTGTAGATGATTCATAAGATGTTTAAAATTAGTCACTGTTTTTATTGCTGAAAATTCAACAAAACAATCACTTCAACCATTCATATTTCCTCTCACTTCATCAGTTTATATTTGAGATTGTCCAGAAAAATGTGTAAGAAGAATGAATAAAAATCAGAAAATATTAGAAAACTATTTGAAAATATTTATGAAGTACATACATTCGGGGTAAAATAAAGTTAAATATAGGAAAGAAATACAAAAATAAATGAATTTTTCTATATAAAATTCAAATCATTCGTCATAATGAGTGAAGAAAATGTCATTAACATTTGTCCATACCAGGAATCTTCAGCTAAGAATCCTTAGCTCGCACTAGTTTCGGCTTTTGGAAATTGTCGTTTATAAGGGGGCGAAAGCTGGTTAATGGAAAAACAGATTTTGTTCAACATATATGTGATTTCATTGGTCTCATGGCTTCAAGTCATGGTTTAGTTTTTTCTTGAATGTTTTTTGTGTCTTCAAAAAAAGTGACACGAGTATTTAGATTTTCAGTATTCTTCGAGATAAAAGTACCAATTATGCTTCCTTCAGTAAATAAAGTATACTGGATGTCGATAACAATTCAATTTTTCAAATCCACCAAATTTTATCTTTCTTGATATTTATTCAGTGTTACATTTACTTGACACTTTCGATATTTCCTGATAGAAAGGTTTTACGAATAGTGGTAGAATAGAATACTGGTAGATCGTGGACGACAAGACGAATCTCATTAGATAAGTGTCCATTTTCAGATATTTCAAAATAATTTCTAACTAATGAACCATTTTTATCAAATTGACATAAAATATAGAAAAACTACAAAACGAGTGTTTTAATAAAAGTTTTATTGAAATATTTGGATCGAATGTAACATATCTCAAATGGAATCTCATAATGATCTCCTACCACGTAGTAGCGGCTACATCCATCAATTCCTTAGAAATCTTGTTATTTATACCAATAATGACTCAAGAACGGCTGGACTCATTTTCTTGATCTTTGATTTGTCGGTTTGCCGGAACAGCAAAATAACTTTCAAAAAGAAAATAACACTTTGGGGACTTTCGGTTTGCTGGGTTCTGACAATCGTCACAGTGCACGCAAAGACAATCGATGTTATGGTATTTGTAATTGATGAATACCTAATTATTATGTCATAATAGAGGCAAACAAACCTCAATGCAACTGAACTACGAATAATGCAAATGTATCTATACTGCAGATGAAGAAGAAATGGCACATGAGGCGCCGTGTTCACGGCGCCGTGTTCACTGTTTGCCCGGTCAACTGTTACTGCAGTAAATGACTAAATAATGGAAATTACTACGTATTCAGTAAGTAATATATTTTGTACTGTTTCATGTATCAATCTACCATTTTTCCTGATGCAAAATCTGCTGTTAACCATGAAAATTACCTCGCAACACTAGCCATGTGGCTCGACTTCATGATTTACAAACACAATATAAAGAAGGTAATATAAGTCAACTAATAAAATAACTTGCGTTTATTAATAATTAGGCTGTACTAACTATAAATTACAAGCTTGTTGCTTATAATAGTTTTTAGTAGAGCAAGCAGAACCTGTATAGATTCCATATATGGAGAGATATTTCACAAAGTAATCAAAATAACGGGTTGGTATTGGAAAAAAACTCCAGTAATATTCATTACTGCACCAAAGGTTCCAAATAGTGCATCATAACAATATCCAAACAACTATTTGATATATTTTGGTTTTTATTTGGTTTGGTTTGTATAAATATAAGAATATGTTTCCATGTGGTAATTTTTACTACCATGACAAAATTTCCATCTATACAAAATCGATAACAAGTTTCCTTGATAGAATTTCACAGATTCCTCTTGCTGATGGGTAATCATAATAATTATTTCCTGGTTAGTGCAATGCTGACTGGTTTGCAAACAAGCTACTTTTGGATGACAAGAATAATTTGCATGACAAGAAAGTATAAACAATTTATGAACATTGGCATTTTTTTCAAAGATAACACACAAGCAGTAGAGGAAAATCCTTAAGGCACTCTAAAAGCGATGCCAGTGCGAAACTAGCGATTCACATTGGATTTGAATCGCTGGAGATTGAATCCATTTGAAAAAAAAGTTCTCAGGAAGTTTATTCCACATAAACGCAGTTCTACAGATGGAAGAATTCTTGAACAACGAAGTTCGAGTTATACTGAGTTGAACCTCAAAACGATGACCAGCCACAGTCCGTCGCATATTTTTGATATGTACCGCTCTTGGTGGGATCAAATGTGCCAAGAGAGACAAATCTCCAATTTTTCTTTGATGTTCCAGGCTATCAAGGTTGCACGAGATGTTCGTGTCTTCAATCAGGCGGACGACTCTTTTCTGGATGGAATCTAGCAACTTCAGGGTATGTTTGGGGGCAGAGCTCCATACATGAGAACAATACTCCAAAGAAGGTCTGACCTGAGCTTTATAAAGCATCAGTTATATATCATATAGCAATTTAATTACGCATACGTTGTCGGATAAGGTCAACTTAATTCATTGAGCAATGTTCAATGCGCGGTTTTAGTCGATCAATAGTAATTGAATATGTTTCAACCAATGAGTGTACTCACTAATAAATGCACCGTCTTTTTCTTCTGGTTATGGTTCTGGTTCTTCATTAGACGTATTTGACTACTGTAAATGCCCGTTAAACATCGATAAATAAACTCACTTGCCTAAATTCTCGGGTAAACAGTAGTTCTCCAATCTGTTAAAAAACTGTTAAAAATGTTAGCGAATGAAAGAAATCAGTTATTTTTCAATAATTAAGCTTCTTCTGTATCCCATAAGTAGGTACACTGAAAACGATAGGCCAGTTTATTGAATGCATAAATTAATGAAAATAAACATATTTCAATTGAGGAAATTTACATTTCTTCTGAAAACTGACCTTTTCTCATTTCATAATTTTTTTTTTCATAAAAATTGAAATTCATTAAATGACACAAGAGTTTTTTGTCAATACCGGAGGATGTGATTTTACGTTCTAAAAGCTATGCTTATTAATTAAGTTATGGATTATATATTTGATAAAAAGGTCCTATAAGTAATACATGGAACTTAAAAGGCAACACAGAGATGCGAACCCTAAATTTAGTTGAGCAGAAAGCTGCAGACCTGCAGAAATAAACAAACTACTAAATGTAATCACAGATTTCATTATAAAATTAAATTTCACAATAAACCTATTTCGGATGGCAACACTGATTGTCTACTGCGTGGTGACATCTGTTATTCAGTAGCATTATCATTACTAATTTTTACAATAGCATTCTGTAAATAAGTACGGATATTTCTTCGTTGCCGTTTTCATAATTTCACTTGAGTACTCAATAACTTCAATATTTTTAAATACTTCCAAAGATAATGGCAACCTCGCAGCTAATTTCATTTTGTGTACAAACAATTTACTGTCATCCAATTGAGGTTAATTGGTTAATTAAAAGATTCAAAATTTTTATAAAATCCTGAATGAAAACATAACATATAATGAAGTGGAATAATCTTTTGGCCTATATTTGTGTACGGGGTGAGAACAAAAAACACGACAGGTGCGCGGTCATCAACCTACATTGATCTGTGCTGAGGTCGGCTGGCTGAGGTAATCGCCCTGATGTTAACATTTCACCATGTACGGTGGTGTATTACACCAAATATGGACTAGAACGGAATCAATTTGAATACTTTAACAATTCAAGACCACGTAGGAAATTATTGCCTAAAACTGAGTTTCCTGTGATGTGATGTTACAAAATCAGATCCTAAAGCCTCGTGTGTGTACGAGGGTATTTAAAAATAACTTTTTTCAAGTTCAAAATTTTCTTCAAGTTGTAATTTGTCAAGCATATCAGTATATTTCTAAGTGTGGTTGAACTAATTTATTCAGTGTTCAGAGCCCATAATCTCTTGTCTGCCGTTAGAACCGTTGAAAATGCATAAGAAAGAAGAGAATTTTGACCAGAAAAAACTGGATTTGGAAGTATGGCTTCAGCGAATGGAATCCAGATTAGCTGGAATGGCCCCTGTAGGCCATACTGCTGACGTTTTGGAGGTACAACTGCGAGAGCAGAAAGGCTTGCATGCAGAACTCCACCAGTTCAAAGCACAAATAGAACATTTTCAACAGTTGACTCAGAGATTGATTACAGCACATCAACATGAAGATACAAGTCGTTACAAAAAGGTATGAGTTCATTTCACAAAGTTAGTTGAGAAAACCCACAAATATTTCAACATTGAATATCTAATGTTTTGGTTTTGAGATGTATTACAGAATGGTTTATTACAGATATGGTTTATTACAGAGATGTATTACAGAGATGGCTTATTAAACCATTCTTGGGATTTCACTTGAGAATGGTTTAATAAACTGACACTGGTTGTAACAAACGAAAATCTTAGTAGAAATTAGACAAAAGTTATTTTCTCTATCTTATATTCATTATGAATTTCTACAAAATGAATATGTCTTCAATGGAACACATTACAGAATTACTTGATTTAAATTTTCTTCACCTCTCCTCAGCAATAAGAAATGTTTTTATTGAATTTGCTAAAAAATTGAGAGAAGTCGTTGATAATTTGAGTGGAGCAAATGCCTTTCACCATTTCTTTCAAAATGATTCATCTTTTTTTTCAGCACATTCTTGAAACAAAATAGACAGTCACACTCAGCCAATGCTGAATCTTATCATTCTATGTATTATTCACGTTATAGTCACAAGACCTTGTCAATGAGACATACAGTGTGAGACAATAAAGCATATTTTCAATATACCAATTTGCAGGCTGCCGAATACATAAACCAACACTACCATCGACTAGATGCTTGTATTATCAATCGGGGAAAGCTCCTTCATTCTGCTCTGAGTTCCCTTCAAAATCTTGATCGTTCAATGGATAAGTTTCTAGCATGGCTCAGTGAAGCTGAATCAGTTGTGGAGACTTTAGAAGGTGAAACTGAATCAAGAAGGGCAGCTCATCAGCTGAAGGAACTTCAGGTTGATATTGAAAGACAGGCACAGACACACCAGGCTTTGAGAAACTCGAGTTTGGCGCTTTTAGGCTCTCTTGCTCCTGAAGATGCATTAATGTTGCAGTTGAGAGGAGATGAAATGGAAAGAAGATGGCAAGTGAGTGAAAAATTTATTCCATCTTTCCACATTACTAATAGTCACTAAAAATACCAATACTATTTTTTTCACATCTAATTTATTTTCAATGATTGCAGTCGATTTGTACTAGAACCTCGGACCTTCGCAATCGACTTGAACACAATGCTGACTATTGGAATGCTCTTTTGTTATCCCTACGGGAACTTACCGAATGGGTTATTCGAAAGGACACGGAACTTGGACTAGCGGCAAGGCAAGATGACCACAGAGCTTTCAGGTATTTTGAAAATGGAATACAATTGATGTGGATTGAAAGAGAAATAACTGAAATATATATCTGAATAAGAAATCAATTGGTCAATTTGCAATCTATAGTACTATTCCATAATAGTAGACACTAAGTTCTCAGAAATATTATTGCATTAAAACGAAAACATTGTTGTCAATGTTGTGCTTCTATATATTTTATAATTTTTTCTCATCTGTTCAATATAATTTCCGTACGCCAGTCCCTCTCAGTCATTGCTGAGAATTTAGTGCCTACTATTTTGTAATTATAGTATAGGCACTATCACATCACTGTAGATGTGTGTTTTCAAAAATTTTGATTCAAACAAATATCAAGTTTATTATATGAAGTTCATTTTTCACTTTGAAAAGAATTAGCACATTTGTTAACTATCATTTGTTAATATACAGTGCCAGTTATCGTTTTGAATTTGTTTGTCAACTGCTTCTTTTACATATTGATTTTTTATCACCCTGTGTCAATATTTATTGAATCAAAATTGCTAAAGCTTTTACTGAGTAAACAGTACCATACAGTATCACATCCAGTTTGTGTAAAAGTGTATGTACACATAGAAATAAATAAAAGTTACTGGATTCGACCACATTTCCTTTTCTTGGTAGTGATCTGAGGTTTCTTTCAAAAGTAATTTTCATAAGAAAAAATTTATAACATGAAAAAAAATCAAGAATTCACTCCTCCCAACGTTAATATACTGTATGATCTGGCAAATGCCTGATGGAAAACAAAAACATCTTTTTAATGTTCATTAACTTATGAATACATAATTACAACCGGCGTTTTTGTATTTTTATTGTTTTGTCAGTTACTGTATGTATTTATACATGCAGTAACTGACAAAATGTATTTATACATTTGTGCTTTACAAACGATAAAGATTATTAGTATATACAGGGTGTTCTTCAATTAAAAATATAATATTTAAGGGTGTTGAGAAGTCCTAACTTCTGAACAACATGGTACTGAAGTTTCAAGAAAAAAATCTATTGTATGGTAACTTTATTTTGGCTCTGAATATTTTGAAGAAATAAAATAAAATAGAAAGGCACTTCCTTCTGTTTATACTGAATCATTTTAAATTGAAAATTGGAGCACAATTTTTTCTTTTCTTGTTTTCATGTATTCTCATATTCTTCGAAAAATGTCAGGACTGTATCTAAAGATGTCATGAGAAAATGAAGTGATTTATTATTTTCTCTGAGATGGTGTGCTACCTACAGGTAGATATTTGAATATTGAAGTTCAAAGACCTAGATGGCCAGTGTTCTTCTGACTGTACAATTTATTCTGAATTTGATTTTGAAATATTGAAAAATAACCCCCTTAAATATTAACACATCAATAGGAAGCTTGCTGTACGTAATACAGTTATATAGGTTTATAGATGTAATTTTTTCTTATGTGATACAACTGTTTTTCCCTTATATATTAGTATTAATTAAATTTCAGGCAACAACTTGAAGACAAGAGGCCATTAGTAGAGGCTAGTTTAAGAAGTGCCAGACAATTTGTAGCTGGAGATCCTTCTGGGGAGTTGGCAAGGAATTTGAGGAGAGAGTTAGTCAAATTGTCGGACAAATGGAATGCTCTCATTGATAAAAGTGATCAGTTGGCTACAAGATTTGAACAAAATTCCATTGTGAGTTACAGTGTTTACCAAAAACCTCATAGTTATTCATAAATCAACCAATCGTCAAGAAATAATATAGAACTGCCATTTCATTTCATTAATTCAACTTTTAACAATTTTTTTTTCAAGTTAATGTATGCTCATCGATGTATGAAGCACTCAAACTGATTGCAGTTTTTGGGAAAGAAAGGTTTTGGCTTTCTACTTCTCCACCTTCATACAAAAAAAGTTGGACTCTTTCAAAGAAAGAAAGGCAGCAATCAGTGTCAAATAATTAATGATTAATTTTTTCAGAAGAAAAATGTTTGTCAACAAGATGTATTTCTTATGACATTAAAAGTATATATCTCTTTCTATTTACAAAACTGCTTCAATGCTCTTTAATTCTCGGAAAAAATGTTCTCCCTGTTTGGCCAATATACATTTTTGGGCAACAGCCTCAAGTCAGCTTATATGCTCCTGGGTAGACCTAGTCCACGGCTTGATTTTGTAGTGTTTTGGAAAGAATAGTCTATAATACCTACCTTATAACCGTTGTTGACCGCGATTTGTTTGATCAAACTCAGCTCACTCTGAAAATTCCTCTCAGACAGTGGTATATTCAATAATCTGTAAACTGTAAAGCATACCATTAAACGCAGCTACTTTATGCTGTTGAGGGTGTGTGGAGGAATTATGTATGATAATGTCCTTGTAAGATGATATTTGTGGAAAATTGCAAATTCATGTTTATTGTAATTTTTGGTAATGATTAAGTCAAGGTAATTTATTGAATTGTTTTCCTCCTTCTCAGTGGTGAATTTTAATGAGGGGTGGATGGAATTGATAAATTCAACGAATTTGCCTAATTGTCTATCTGCACCAGTGAAACAGAGTAAGAAAAGTTTGAATAAAACTATATTTTAATGGTTCATATCATCTACGTATCTGTACCAGTACAAGAAACTGTTAGTTAACTGATTATTATGGATTTCATACTCTATGTTATCCATAAAAATTTCGGCCAGTAAAGGACTCAAAGGGTTCCCCATTATTAGTTCTTCACTGCTTGAATAAAATTTTTCGCCAAACTGGAAATAATTTTGAGATCGACAAGTAGCAAGTAATTCTAAAATTTCCTGTTTCATCAGTGGATTCACATGGTTTTTGACTAAGAGACGTTCAACCAGTCCAATTGTTTCAATTGGCGGAATACTTGGAAATAAATTTTGGACATCAAACGATATTAATTTTGCATGATCAGGAAGAATTACGTTTTTATTATTCACTAATTGTTGGGAATTTGGGACAGGAAGATTTTGACTTTCTACTTCACATTCAATATACCTAGGTATTCTCTCAGAGCTTAACCTTGTTTTTTGAAATGGTCCTCTAGTTATATATTCTATCCCTATCCTCTGACACTGCACTAAAATACCGTCTCCAACTTTCAAATTTTTTGTTTTAATTTCCTGTTATTGTTCTACTAACCCAAAATAATTCTTTAAAGAAACTGAAGCAGCTCACTATGAGCTTGGAAGAGGCATCATCTGCAGTAACACGACTTGAACGGGCTACGTTGAGTTGGAGTGGTCCGCGTAGTTCTGCTGAAGCAAGGGAGCTCCTTTGCAACCTCAGAACATTAGAGCAACAATTGCCATCCTTACAGAGATCTTTGGAAGAAGCCAGAATACAAGCTGCAAATATAGGTAATTGCTTTTATTGTTCTTGTCAACACATTTGTTTTTGAAACATTTTACCCATGACTATAATTGTATTGTTCTAGGAAATGCTCTGCCCAATAACCTTTCCGCTCAACTAGAGGACTGTACTGCAAGGTGTAGGGCTCTTCAAGCAGCTATAAGAGAGCGGAGGGATCAGTTGACCAGTAGCACCCAAGGTAGGATAGTTCAAATCAAGTTTAGATTGTCAATTGGTAGTTCTTGAATTTTTCAAAAAACTTGACTAATAAAATTGAGATAACTCCGAAAGAATATGATTTCCAGTTGCATGTAATGAAAATGATATTTTAGGTCATTCCGTTTTTATGAGTCCTTTCAACTGTAATAATCTCAGTGAATACATTTTTAATTTAATCGAAATAAGCGTCATTTGAATCAGTGAACTTTTGCGAACATAACACAAGTCTATAAATTCCGTCAACATAACAATTGCATGATTGGGATTGCTCAACGACATCATATAGTAATGAGCGGAAAAGAGGCAAAAATTTAAATTTGATTAATTACAAGATTACAAAATTATCTATTGATCAGTATATAAAACGACACAGTATATTGAATATTTATTGCTATATGGAGCCATAATAATACATGACATCAAAACGGATGAAACTTCTGAAACAACCTAATATTAGCATATATCTCAACTCATTTCTTTTTCCTGGTGAACCCTTTCAAAGATGGTCGTGAAATTGAAAAATGACAATCAATAATGTGATAAGTTGACTCTCTCCGAATATAGGCACAGCAAAAGGCTTTGCCTTTCTTTTACAGTGAAACCACTTTGTAAAAGTAGTAATAAATAATGAACCTGATTAATTGCAAACATCCAATAAAGTTAATTCATAAATTTGATATGTACTCATATAAAAATATAGCAGTTAAATAACTACGATGTTTCAACTACTTTGCTGATATTTGATGTGATGGAATTAGCCAATCGTTGATGAAAATACATAACGTATTTGAGTAATACCTTATTGTGAAATTTTACTGAACATTTTACAAAACCGCAACACGTGTTTTGCTATACAATAGCTTTTTCACTCGTGTTCATACTCACTCATAGTGAAACACGTGTTGCGGGTTTGTACAATGTTTAGTAAAAATCTCGAAATTAAGTGTGACTTAAATTCACTGACTTTCTTTTTCTGAGATTCAAATCTCGATATTTCGAGAATGAACTATAAACTGTCTACATTATTAATACATATACGCGGCGTTGTTGACCTAACCTACACAAATGATTGATAGTTTAATCACTTGCACAGGTTATAGTTCTGAAAAAGATATGCGAAAAATCGAACGTTTCACTTTTTGCTGTTAGTGCAATATCAATTTTGTCATGGTCTCTGTGGAAACATAGCGAAAATAAAGGTTCGATAGACGATGGAATATAAGGCACGCATTTTGTGAGCATGTTATTATCTTACTTAATTCCATTACATTTACGGTATTATATAATTGATTTTTTGTATAACTATCATTAAAGCGATATTTTTAACGGTTGTCAAGAGTGTGTCACTAGTGTTAAAAGTATTTTCAACACAATTTTTTTCAACCTAATAGCAATAAACAAAACATAGTTATTTAATTTTCAAGGAAGTTTTATTATGAACAATAGATATAGATATAATTAAATTCTGTTACAAATGTATTATATACATTAATTACATTATTATTATTATATTTATGAACATTAATATGAAAAATACAATTAGAACAACTGCTGATATTAATACCTTGCGATGTTGAAGACATTCAATTCTTGAAGTGAAGAAAACGATAATGTAACGCTGGAGCTAGCTGTTGGGATTATTCTTTCAGGAATAGCCATTTTATTAGAAATAGATTAATCGATGTAACCCTCAGCTACTGTTGTAGACTTCCATCCTCCGTGCTTACTAATATCCGTTATATTCGCTCCTGATTCTGCTGGTAAAGAAGCAGAAGACCTTCTGAAACTAACCTTCGATTCCGGGAAGTTCAGAAAGAGGGCATTTTTCCCAAACGTGTTATACCAAATGGGCACTGCATTTATAATTTGGGTATTTCAGAAAAAAACGCTGGTGATTGATAACAGAAGGGCGTAATGCAACGTATTTATTGAAATAGTCAATGTTTTATCCAACAATGCAAAAAACAACCTATTTTCGTTTTTGTATTTGTAATTTGAAAAATCAATGATTTATCTATTTTTGAAAGGTAAGACCTCGTTAATCCTTAGCTCGCACAAGTTTCGACTTCTGGAGGTTGTCGTTCGTAGGGGTGGTTAACGGAAAAACAGATTTTGAACAGATTTTTTCTAAAACAGATATTATTGAGGCACTTATGATACAAAAATAGTAGATATTTATAAAATGAAATCCAAGCTTTTCTTACCGTGATTTTTGTGTACGACACATGACGAGTATTACCTCTAATATTCAGCATGAAACATCTAATGCATACACAAATTAAGTTTTTTGTCTTTTTGGTTCACTTCAGAAATTAAACTCACCTATAGTGTTGACTCAAGTTTTATTATTTTGTGATTTGTCTGTTTGATTAGATTTTTCATAATTACCTAAATAATTGTAACTAATCTCTAATCACATATTTAAAACCGTCAATACATTTTTGGTAATCAAAATAATTTATAAACTATACATTATTGGTGAAGATACAATACATACAATTGGTGAAGATCAAAGGGTTGTCTAATATGACTTTTTCATATTGGTTAATTGTAGCACATGTCGCTTAGCGATCAGCAGAACGAGACCCAGCGTTTCTTGTGAAGGCTGTAAAAACTTGTTTCATGCTATCTGCATCACAAAAACCGACAACCTGATAGACATTTTGCAGAATGTACCGGGGCTATCCTGGAAATGCTCGAGTTGCATGAACTCATGTATTGTAATAAATGAAGAGCGTTTGAATAAAGTTATCGAAGCCTAACTAGACACTGCTGTTTCTTCAATAAAGAGTCATGTTACATCTGTGAAATCTGAAGTTGTGAAAGCTTCCACAAACGTGTCTACTTCTCAGCCACGCCGGTACTCAGAGATACTGAAAAATAAATCAAACTCAGCTGTAATTATTCGCCCTAAAACAAATCAGGAAGTATCAAAAACAAAGACCGACAATGCGTCATATTGACCCAACATCCGAGAATCTTCAACTGGCAAAGGTCAAGACGATTAAAGATGGAAGAATCCTCATCGTTTGCTGTAATCCTTCTGATAATGAAAAAATTAGAAAAGTGGTTGAAGAGAAAATGACTGACTCTTATGATGTTAAAGAAGTTGCTGGCATGCATCCTCGACTACGAGTAGNAGAAGATGCATCCACATATTTCTATGGAAAACTTTATAATGTTTTTGATCGCTGCTGTCCCAAGTATACAGTTGAATCCAAAAATAAATATCCTCCTTGGTATAATAGAAGCATTATTAGAGATTTGCAGGCTAAAAGCAGAATCTGGCGCAAACACAAGCGTGAGTGTAATCTGCAGGCCTTTGAAGATTTCAAACATCTTCGAGCAAAAATAAATAGATTCATATCTATCCCAACAGATTTTGGTCATTTATAAATAATAAACGAGGTAGCTCCAAAATTTCACAAGTACTGAATTTTGAAGGTCAATTGCTGGAGGGGCCCTCTAATATCATAAACGGTTTTGCCAATCTTTTCAAACAATCGTATACCGCTTCTTTCCCTTTTCAACCAAACTCTGATATTGATAATAATCACTTTCTTGATATATCAAGCTTCAGTGAAAAACGAAAGGTCGCTCAAGCCTAAAAAGACCACTGGTCCAGATGACATTCCAGCCTATCTCTATTATTAGGCCTATCCCTATTATTTGCAACTTTGCAAAGGTTTTAGAGATTCTGCTGGGGCGAGTTATATATCGACATGTTAGTTGCAATATAAGTATAAACCAACACGGTTTTATGAAAAATCGTTCAACGGTCACCAATCTTCTGACTGTAACCCAACATATTGCTGAATCTATTGACAATAGGGCCCAAATTGATGTTATTTACACAGACTTTTCTAAGGCCTTCGACAGGCTTGACCATGGCATTCTGCTGAACAAACTAGTAGCCTTTGGATTATCTCCATCCTCAATCGCACTCTTTCAGTCCTATCTACGGGATCGAAAACAATACCTATGTTCAGCTTAATGGTTTCAAATCTACCGAATATAGTGCTTCTTTTGGTGTTCCACAAGGTTCAAATCTGGGACCGTTGCTCTTCAATATATTCATTAATGATATTGCAGATGTTATAGATGTGTATTTCCTTTTATATGCCAATGATCTAAAACTATACTGCCTCGTTGAGAACATAGATGATCGTGTGAACCTCTCAGCAAACGTAGGAAGGGTTGTAGAATGGTGTTATCGAAATAACTTGTCACTGAACAGTTTGAAAACGAATATCTTGATCTTTTATTATTCAATAGAAAACGTTTGTTTCCCTGGTGAGACCAGAAACATTAACTGATCTTGGCTTCACATTTGACACTGCACTATCATTTAATAGGCATATCGATAATGTTGTAACCTCCTCCTGTCGTTTGTACGGATTAATTGCACATAACAGTAGTGATTTCAAAGAAACTTCGACCTTAAAAACTTTATTCTATGCTTTCATAAGATCAAAGTTAGAATACGCGTCAGTTGTGTGGAGCCCCTTTTATCAATANTCATGAGAATTTACTAAAAAATGTACCTCTGCTTGTTTTCAAGAGATTCGTGTAGTTGAAGTGGCATACTTTTTGAGAACATTCTGTTATGAATAAAGTGTTAGAAGACGATTTATTTATTGAATTGTAGAAATAACTTTTTCATTATCATGACAGGTAAATATTCAATAACTTTTCTTGACTCATCATTTCTGGATTATTTTTTCAAACGGGACAGTTTTTCTATAATTCAGTATGTCACACCAGACATTTACTTCCTGAGAATATTACCTCTTGAAAAGTACAATAAAATGTGGATTCTTGTGAGCCCAATGTTTTATATGTTGCGATGAAACCACACCATTTTATAGTGAATGTGGCCTCATCGCAAATTATGTTTTGGAGAAAATTTCGCAGTAACAGTTTTTGACCAATGAAAAGCTTATATCGTCTCGCGTTACTATGGTAATCCTGGTATATATCCTAATTTGTTTCCCAGAAGGATGATATTTTTAGGAGAGATTAATTTTTGTGAAGAAAGGTTTTGGCTTTTTATTTCTCCATATTTACACTTTTTTCTATTCAGTTTTCCAAACATTTATTATGGAACTGATTTCAGACACAAACTGAAAAACAGCCCTCTCGAAACAACTAATTTCATTTAAACATTGAATTACACAAAAAAACTTTTGAAACTACTTTTATATGAATATTATAATTTTTTTTTTTTCAGTTTGTGGCATATGGTTGTAATTTCATGTATGAATTGATTGCTTTATTTTGTAATGTTATGCAGATTGGTGATGAAAAGGCAATAAGGCAAGTGTCTTATTCCGAAACATCGATGTTCGCCATTGAGGATGACAGTGTTCCATATGAAATTTCACTTCTTTCATATACTATATAACATTGGTAGGTGAAGTTTTTAGTAACTAATATCGCTAAAATCCATTGAGGACAAAATCTATTCGGACACTCATTGATATTCATTATTAGTCTGAATTTTCTACTTTTATAACAAAATGAATATTTTGAAATAGAATAAGTACTATTCTGATCATTCCCATATTGATTTTAATTTAAGAGCCACCGGTAGACAGCTGTTTCAGTCTGTTGGGCATCGTCAGTACTGGGCAGGTGGTCCTCGATTGAAGGCAAAATTTGAATAACTAAGAAAGGTACTTGATAAAAATAACTGCGTATACGCAAGTGAGACATAAGTGGAACCACCTATTGGTGTGACACCCAAGTCAATTTGCCAAGTTTTTATGTCAGTGTTTTATGTATATATTTATGCATGTATCTCTAACCGATACAGTTTTCAGATTTGTTTTGATAACAATTTCAAGATCTTTCTAGAATTCCTCTGCGACTCCATTCTTTCTGATTGGCGAATAGGCTAGACTAAGACATACTGTATTTCAATTTAATATATAGCGAAACACGTTGCAGTTTTGTAAACTGTATAGTGAGAATCTCAGAATAAAGAGTCACCTGAATAACGTTTAAGGAGTCGTCTAATACTCCATCAACTGGTAGAAGGGTAGTGAGTAAAACAATATGTTATTGTCATACTATGTGATAAGTCAACATGTAGAATTGGTAACTAGTACTTTACCTGCTAATCAGAAATGTACAGATCCGAATTCATATTCGATGAATTATTTTCCCAATCTGCTGTTTTTCTAGGTGAGATTTCTCCCGGACCCTCAAGTGTGCAGCCTCCTTGGGAACGGGCCATCACTCCTAACAAAGTTCCCTACTACATCAACCACAGTACTGAAACCACCCACTGGGACCATCCTCAGATGCTTGAACTCGCTGTTTGCCTGCTCCAGCTTAATGAAGTACGCTTTTCCGCATATCGGACTGCTCTCAAACTCCGTTCCATTCAGAAAAAGCTTTGTCTTGATTTAGTTACTATTAGCTCTTCTTCTGAAGCATTCGACCTCCATGGATTGAGAGCACAAAACGACAAAATTCTTGATGTAGCTGATATGGTGTTAGTTCTCAGAGCTATTTTTGGAAATGCTGCTGCATTAGAGCCGAATGTTGTGGATGTGCCGCTTTGTGTGGATTTGGCTCTCAATTGGTTGTTGAATGTATATGACAGTCAGCGAACGGGCCAATTGAGAGTTCTCAGTTTCAAAGTGAGTAAATAAATTTGACTCAGTTATCTCACCAAAACATTGTGAGATTTATTTTTTGAACTCTTCAAGAATTATAGACTGTTTGAAATTACATATAATCACATCAAATATTTTGGTGAGATGATTGAATTGTAAGGGGGTAGTTACAGAGTATTACCATTTGAAACCTCAAGTTGGAAGCCCAAAATATTTTATTTCTCCCATGGAATTGTCTAAAAATAAGTCTCTACTTGCCAACTTTGTCACATTTATTGCAGGCTCCATCTTCGTATGAATGGGCGTCGTTTGTTTCTTAATGCTGACAAACATATTCTTGGAACCGTAACTTGGACTTGGTAGTGTTGGAGCTTGGTTTAACTCAACCATTTTACTTCCTTTTATATTGAATCTACTTTCTCCGAATAGAGATCTTCAGTTTTTTCTAAGTCTGCAAGCCAGTTCCTTCTCTTTATGGATTTTGTATGCATCTGACAATCTCGTATCTAGTGGTCACAATTGAAAGATCACTTGTCCTGCATGGACCACTTCTAACATCTTTGTTTTGAACCACTTCTTTCACTTATGAACATCACTAGGTATGCCATTTAACTTGCATTTTTCGCAGAATTATTTCTAATGACACAGTTGATATACTTAAAGCATGGTGTCTGCCCATTTGAAATTTTTACTGAATATTTGCATCTTGAAACCCATTATTTAAAATGAGGAAACTCATCTGATAGGTCAAGACTCTGGTAACAATTTATCACAATTCAGTCCTTTCATTACCTATCTGAAAATATCAGATTTTTCTAAGGTGTTTCCTCGAGTTTTTGAGAAATAAATCCAGGAATGTAATATGTACACGGGGTAGGTCAGAGTTTTTTAATTGTATAAACTCTGAATTGAAGGTTGATTTTATATTTGTATGAATGCCGTTCATTCTATGTTTATAATAAGATACTGGTATCTGATTATTCATATTTAATATTTATTTGAAGGTAGGATTAACTCTTCTGTCGAAGGGTCATCTAGAAGACAAGTATCGTTATCTCTTCCGTCTCATAGCAGACCCCCAGCAAAAAGCTGATCAAAGAAAACTAGGCCTGCTGCTCCATGATATTCTTCAAGTGCCTCGACAACTTGGAGAAGTGGCCGCATTCGGTGGCTCAAATATTGAACCTAGTGTGAGGAGTTGTTTAGGGGAAAGAGAAGATTTGGAAGTAACTCATTTTTTAGCTTGGTTGAAGCAAGAGCCACAGGTTAGATTCCATATTGTAAATAAGCATGTACAGTAATTGATTGATTAGTGTTACTTTCAATAGATTTATTATCTTACTAACAGCGTTCTGTATTTGAATAGGCATTGAAAATGGATAACAAATAGTGTGTTCCTGTTGAGAAATAACCCATGCTTGTAGTGTCATGCAATTTGAAACACGCTGCTCACCTGAATGAAGATGCTGCATGTTATGTTGTTAGAGGAAATGTTGAAATCCTGCAATGTTCTATTGTGTATATTTTTCTCAGTCGCTGGTATGGCTACCAGTCCTCCATCGTTTGGCAGCGGCAGAGACGGCTAAGCATCAAGCCAAGTGCAACTCTTGCAAGCAGTACCCTATCGTTGGCCTGCGCTATCGCTGTCTGAAATGCTTCAACTTTGACATGTGCCAGAACTGTTTCTTTTCGGGAAAGCTTACAAAGGGACACAAACTGACCCACCCGATGCATGAATATTGCGCCGCTACGTCCTCCATAGAAGACATGAGAGACTTCACGAAAGCACTTAAAAACAAATTCAAGAGCAAACGGTATTTCACTAAACATCCAAGGGTGGGGTATTTGCCGGTGAGATCGGTGCTGGAAGGAGATGAGTTGGAAAGTCCGGTGGCATCTCCGCAACATAACGATATGCATTCTAGGTAAATGAACTTCAAATTATATATAGATAGATAGATAAATAGATATCCTTAATCCGTTCTTTGTAATAAAAAACCTTTTCGAGTGTAGAACATGTCAATTACAGTAAACATTACAGAAGCAGTAAAAAATCATATCATTAATATTGGTTAAGAATATAAATGGCCACAGATGTATGAATAACATAAAGCTTCAGCAGCTTGAGGTGATGAATATCGCTATCCATGTATTCTTTATTTGACTCAGAAAAGAAAAAAAATGGGAAACTTTATCATTAAAAAATGGACAATGTATCATTCCAATAATTAATTGGTCAATGAGCTGTGTGGGGAGCTGGTTTTATCCTGATGAAAAATGATGCTACGTTTTTTGTTGCTTTCCCAATTCCATCTACTTGTGGCAAACAAATTGTACGTATCACGGATCTTTGATTCTTGAATAGAATAGGGGCGATATATCCGGTAACGACGAAAAAGCAAGCAATCATTTTCTTGGAACTACTACGAAAACAACTAACTTTTGTAGGGTTCGTTTCACTAAACAGTGGATCCAATGTTGTACACGTACTTTGTGATTCCCAAGTTGAATTTATTAGGCATTTCCTCACACTAATTCACATGTAGTTTTCTTGAGTCTGGAGCAAATCAAATTATCTACAAGAACACTTCGTTCAGGCCAGTCTCAACTCACCTACACTATAGGTTAACGGACTGACACCTATCACAAAATAACTACTCCTCTGGTTAATATCACGAAGGGCGTTGGAATATATCCGACAGGTATCAGTGTGCAGGATTCTTCACTGAAGTTATTCCTGCATATGCTGTTGGCGATAAAACTGTCGGAATCAGTGAAGAATCCTGCACTGACACCTGTCGGATATAATCCAACGCCCTTCGTGGTATTAGCCAGGAGAGTAGTTGTTTTCTGATAGGTGTAAGTCCATTAACTCAAAGTGTAGGTGAGTTGAGACTGGCCTGAACGAATTGTTCTTGTAAAAAATTCGATTCATAGCCAGTCTTCAAGTATGCCCACTTACTTTATGTTCAGTCTGGCAAATCTTTTTCACACAAATAATCATGGAATTGAATGTATACCAATAGCTTGTATTTATGAAACATGCTGATATTTTTCAATCAAACATCATTGATGCTGTGAGGAAGAGCTCACAGCATCGCTGATTTTTGTTCGTAATCAAAACCGATTTTGTTTGCTTTTCATGAGACTTATCTCTGACGACTGTATAACCACAATCAAATTCTGAAAACTGATTGCAAACAGTCTTTTCTGATGGCGCTTCATTATCAAAGTTGAAAAATGATTCTATCCATTCTTATTGAGTTATAGCTGACTTTTTTTAAACACTCATTCTCAACCAACATTGCTTCTAATTTACCACTATTTTTAGGGTAATAAGAGGTGATTTCTACAAATAACGTGTTCCCACATTTCACTAGCATCAGCTGATTGTCACAGAGAAGATAAAAAAATTTACAATGATATTTTTCAATGTAACACGTTGAAAAATTGAACAACAAATCATCAAATGAATATTCATTGAAGATATTATAGTTACTAAGAATTCTCAAAGTATAATCTCACAAACAACTTTTTCAATCGATATTCGTGTCATCCAATGAAAACTCCACAATGAATGTCGTATTACTTTGTTGACTGAGGAGGACTTCATCGGGCTTGCTAGTTTTTATCAGACTGGTGGAGAATAAATAGTTTCCACAAATTTTCTGGGACGTAAAAAATGTTTCATGATTACAGGCGTCTTGAGAGAAGTATTTCATCTGGTATCAAGAACGTCTTTACCTATCACATGACTATGATAGACTAAGGTTTTGAAGACACCGTCCTGGTAGGGCCTAATAAATTTCTCTGTTTCCCACTTCAACTCACTGGACCTGAGAGAAATAAAAGTCAGATGGTTTGATAAACTGAGATCGGCTTTCCTTTATCTAGTCGCAGGAGTAAAGTATTTTTGCGGCTTTGATGTGAGCGTTTCAGTATCGAAAACTAAACCAAGTTGGAGTACAGAACTAGAAAATAGAATAACTAAAGAAATAACAGAACAAAAATCCTTCGATACTGAGACTATTCAAAACATAATAGTTATAGTAGTTCCTCCAGAACAGTTGGAAGAGATGGTAAAAGAGGGCATGCATGCCATGTCATCTCCCGAACGCTGAAATGTTTAGCCTAATTGTACATACAGCCTTCCATCTTTTTTCTTTTCAGTGGAATTGCCAAACTCATTTTGATTGACTATAATACAAAAATAGGTTAGAGAAGACTGTATTTGTTCCAAATCTGTTTTTGTGTTAACCAGCTGTTCTCCCTCACGAACGTCATCTCTAGATTTCTGCGACCGAAGGATTAATGATATCTTATGTTTTTACACAAGTTGGATGACACCATTTCACATAAAGATCGATTGAATAAGAAGAATGAACTACTCACGCTTACCAACTGAAGTTTGAAATATTCATGACATTCCGAACTTCTATAACCACTATCTCAATAAGTAGACTTTGTGGAGATCAAATCGTGAGGTGTAGTTTTTGAAATTACTATGGATCTTCATCAAGTAACGGCCGAATCAATCAGAAAATCTCAATAAGTGTTTGTTAGGCTGCCGCAATATTGATCATCATATGATCATGTATAACATTTATTATCAATTCTCCATTATATGAATCTTGCAATGATTATTATGGCTGTATATTCATACTTCAATTTTTCAAAAATTATTTGAACATTCTCAATTAGTTTCCTTTCTATTTCTAAAATAGATTTAACTTTGTAATTGTTATTTTCGCGGGTTGTAATTATAATTATCTTTTTTTTTCTGTTGCGTCGATCTCTGTTGCGTCGATCATTCATTTTTCATTCTACTGTGTCATAGTGTTTTGTAAATAAATATCTGTATCTGACTCTATAAATAAATATCTGTATTTCCAGATAAATTCGAAAATTTTTGGTTAGACTTCGGAGCACTTACTCATCTTTGTCATTTTCGCTTTCACATTTCCAGACTAGAAATATATGCCAGTCGACTTGCGGAAGTAGAACTTCGAGCGGCTTCTCCTGAAGATGAACATCGTCTTATTGCTGATTACTGCCAATCACTAGATGGAGTTCCTGCTAGTCCAGGTCAGCTGATGTTGGTTATCGATGAAGAACAAAGAGCCGAATTACAAGAGATGATCAGAGAGTTGGAAAATGAAAATCAGGCGCTGCTGCAAGAATATGAACAGTTGCAGAGAGGCAGTGCCCCACATCCTCAGCCTCAACCGCAGCATGATGTCTTAGCAGAAGCAAGGTTGTTGAGGTAAGTGTATAATATGTCTGATACAGGTAAAAGTGCCAAGTGTGAAAGTGATTATTTTTGCATGATGTTACCCATCAACACAGAGAGAGAGAGAGAGAGAAATACGTTTATTGTCTCAAAAAAGAGTTCTTGTTGACCAAAGATTATGAACTATGTCAAAGTAGTATAAAAGTAATTCCTAAAAGCCCATTTATATAAAATAGGGTGTCAAACACATTTTTACGAAACAAAATAAATGCTATACAATTTAAAATATGAACATTTTATCAAAACAACGATAAAAATAAAATAAAATTCGAAAAATTTCCTTAAAAAAATATGCTATATTATAGTGACAATACAGTAGTAAACTATAATTTATAAAAAGTGTTGTCATTGTAAAATTCATCTGAACTATAATAGGCTTAATCAAGCAGAATGTCGCTTAATTTTTTCCTGAAAATTTTCAAAGAAAAACTCTTCAATTCTGTTGTACATCTTTATTCCATTGTATATCAATGAATCCTTCACCATTGTTTTTGTGGGCAGGGGAAGTCTGATCAAGTAAGCTTGACGTGTATTATAGTGTGGCTCATTTATATCATCACGAGCAGATATATTCTTATGAATCAGACTTACTGTTTCAAGAATGAATAGAGATATTATTGTCAGAATTCGTTTTTTCAATGAATAATGGTTTGCAGTGATCTTGGAACTTTGCCCCGCACACATACCGGACAGCTCGCTTCTGTAAAACGAAAACAGTTTGCAGCATGCTTTTGCTGCATACTCCCCAGAAGGCAATACCATATCCTATATGTGAATCCACAAAGGCAAAGTACGCAGATTTTGCAAAGGTTCTACCCAGCTCCTTCGAAACTGACTTCACTACAAAGCAGCCAGATGCAAGTTTTTTATTCAACTTGATAATATGATCCTCAAATCAAGCTTATTATCAATGTGAAGTCCTAAGAATTTGTAGGACAATTTAATCTCGAGAATGTTGTTATTCAAACTAAGAGGTGGGAGTTCACATTTGAAGGTGAGGAGATGGGTTTTATCAAAGTTTAAAGAAAGCTTATTTGAGTCACACCAGCTCTTAATTTTTTCCATGTCTACAGTGGCATCTTGAGCTCGTTTTGTAGGATTATTTCCCTGCCACAGCAACGTTGTATCGTCTGCAGTTGTGTTATATCATTAATATACAATAGAAACAAGATGGGTCCTAGGATGGAACCTTGAGGGACACCTGCTTTAATTTCTCCTACATTTGAGTCGGTTGAGAGTCTTACAATTTGCTTTCGACTCAATAAGTACGATTCAAACCATCTAATGCTTCTGTGCTCAAAACCATAATGTTTCAGTTTCCGCAGTAAGATTCCGTGATCAACGAGGTCAAATGCCTTGGAAAAGTCACAGAATACAGCTGCTGAATAGGCACCAGAATTCATATCACTATAAATCTTATGCAGAAAGTTAAAAATTACATCATTTGTATTTTTGTTAATTTGAAAACCATACTACTGTGGACTCAATATGTTATTATTTTATAGAAAGTAAATTAGCCGCCTTTTTATGATTTTTTCAATAATTTTGGATAAGGTCGGAACAAGTGATATAGGTCTGTAGTTTATTGGATCATCCCTGGCACCATCTTTGAAGAGCGGAATCACTACAGAAGTTTTTAAAAATTCAGTAATCTATTTTGATAATATTTTTTTTCGCAGCACTTATCACATTTCTATATGTTTTCCTGTATTTATTGAAATATTTAAGAAAACTTTCATTTTTTGCATGTTTTCGAATAAAATTGACTACATTATTCCAGTTGCTTTGGAGCGATGATTGATAAAACCTATTATAGTTAGTCGTGCTGTATATATCTGTGTTTTTTTGTATTTGCAACAACTTTGAAATTGAATCTTGTGGAGATTGCGTTGTGATCAGACAGATTTGAAGGGACATCACATGATATAAGATTTTCGCTCAGATTAGAACAAAAGTAATCAATTAATGATGATGAGTATTGGGATGAGCACGTCACTGAGTTTACACAGAGATTGCACAGTTTTTGTCTATCTGTAGAAACCTCATTCAACTAATTTATATTGAAATCACCAGCAAGCATAACTTGGCTACTGACTGGTAGTTTCGATAGCAATAACTCAAGTTTATCAATGAAAGTATCCTTATTACCGGTAGGGGTTCTATAAATACAAATAATGTAGAAATTTAACTTTTTACAATAAATTGTACAATTTTCAAAGTCTTTTTCCATTGCCATATTTTCTGGATTTTTAAACTGCACGGAACTAAAACTGTGGTCTTCCATCAAAGAGTTGTGGGCTAAAATAAGGGTTCCACCATGTGAATATTTGATTCTGCAGTATTTTGCAATGGGCTGATAGCATGGTAGCTGTATTGGTTCATCATCTTCAAGCCAGTGTTCAGTTAGAAAGACTAGCTTAGGATAGTGCATTTGTTCAAGTAGTATGAAAAGCTCGTCTGTTTTGTTTCTAATTGATTGAATATTCAAGGTGAGAATGGTTAGGATAGAACGATTCCTGGAATTTTCTGTTCTAAAAAAAGATTCTGAGGGCGTATTAGACTTTTTTGTGTCATGTGCTGTAAATTTTGGTTTGCAATTTGATTTCTGGATATCAAAATGCTGGTTCGGTAAAAGTTGGAGTTCATTTATTATTTTCAACAGTTCGTGGGCCAAAAACCGATTTGCACTCATTTTCAATTTATATCCGTGTTTACAATAATTGGTTCGTTTAAGGGCATTGTTGCATTCCAAGAATTTGCAATTATCCCTTTTCGTGAGATGCAATTCTTCAAAAAAAAAAAAGAGATTCCTCTCGTATATTATTTGATTAACGTTTTTGTTATATCTGTATGGTTCTGAGATGACAATTATGTTTGTGTGTTGCATTCTTGACATTAATTCTTCTCATAAATATGAATTTGTTTTATTCAACTAGATTATGAGGGCATCACCTTTGGTAAAATGTCGTGTGGCAGAGATGGCTGTTTTAATTAGTCAGGCCACAGAACAGATACCTATTTTCTAGTCAACATTATTGTAATTTTCACTGGAATATCTGATAATTTTACGTGCAAAAAAGAGAGTGGATTTTACTACCTCTTTCATCGCTTTTTTCATTCCTTTTCTCATTCATTGGGTTTTACAAATTTGACTTCAACATGAAGAAGCACTGAACAAAACTTGAAGGACCGAAATGTTTGGGCAGATTTCTGGTTTTCGGCAAAACAAAATTTCAGTTTGAATTTTTCGCGACAGACTCCAGTTGGGGTATATATATGAAGATATTGAGTTTCATTGATTGATTGATAGATGTTCTATCTCCGCTTCACCGGTTTAGCAGGAGTTGACTATTTTTCCCCTTCATTACAGATTTCCATATGTTGCATATCTCTATGCTAGCTTGGCTGAATGCATCGTGGGACAACATATATGCAGCTTCTTTGAACTTCCTCTTAAACCAGTGCATGATCTCAGCTTGGGACCACTTGATGTTATGTTGATGAGTCCAAACATGCTCTGCTATTCCCAATTTGCTGGTTTCTCTTCACTGTGTGTGTTTCTCTTGTGCTTGGCAATACAGACTTTCAATGGCCTCGTAGTTTCACTGGTTTGTCGCACTCCCGGGTATCTGTTAAATGCTATTCTTGGAATCGCAGTTCGCGTTTGGTGGCCTGGTTTACATGAGGCTGCAACGGATGGTGTTTCCGGATCTGAAGCAGGTTCTGATGTTGTACTTGGACCCAATTCATCTTACTCTTTCCGAAAATCCTCTGACGTAAGGAAGAGAAAGCGGTGGTTGTGACGATTTCTGTTACTTGTGAGGTCCTTGCTGTCTTCTAACCAAAATCTGTTCCACCATCAATTTGGAGTAACCATTCCATTGAAGATATTTTTTGATGATGTCTAGTTCCTTCTCGAGATTTTTCTTCATATTACAGATCACGAAAGCATGATTCACTATTTTTAATGATTCCTCATTTGGTAGATTGATGTTGGTTGGATTCGTGATTCAGCTACTGTTCCATGTGAGGAAGTTTTGGGTATACAGATGTTTCCCACTTAGTGTTGTTCCTCTTCACCAATACGTCCGAGAATGGCAATTTGTTGTGGACTTCCTTTTCCATTGTGAAGGTGATTGCAGGTTGATGTGTTTCAGAAAGGTGTCTAGTTCTGTATTCCCATGGTTCTATACTATGAAGGTGTTGTCAACGTATCTCAACCACGACGCGGCTACTGATTCGAACAACCTAACCTTTTATTAATGAAGAATTTCTTTTATTTTCAAAATTTACCAAATATATTTTTGAAATTCACTAAAAACTTGTTACGATTTTGTATTCTATCCAATATCTGAAAATTTAAATATTTCTTTGCCGAACATTAGACAGAGTCATTCTCAATTTGAGAATAAAATTAATAATTACGTTTTCAAAGGTATTGTGAAACATAAAATGCCCCCTGTTAATTGGTTGAGAAAATAACTATTTGTTTAGTATAAAAAACTTGAAACTGTAGAAACTTTTCTGTAAACATTGTCACCTGTCAAACGATAGTAGTACGTGTAATGCACTGTTTGGAACCTTTGGTGTAGTAATGAATATCACTGGAGTTTTTTCCCAACACCAAACCGTTATTTCAACACTCCGACGGTTTGGTGTTGGGAAAAAACTTCAATAATATTGATAGTAATACGTTATCAATAGTCGGATTTGGATTCCGACTCTTTGATTTACTAAGTGCAAATCATCAGCCAAAAAGAACTCTGGTTAAATTTTAAAATGATATTTGCCACTAAAACCAGTTATGAATAGAACACGATTGAGTAATTCCATAATCATTTTCAGACAACACAAGGGTCGTTTGGAAGCACGCATGCAAATCCTAGAAGACCACAACAGACAGCTGGAAGCTCAACTTCAACGTCTTCGACAACTGTTGGATGAACCTCCTACATCCACTTTGCAGACTAGGAGCGTTACTGCTTCTCAACTCAATCAAGATATACCTGGTAGAATAAATCAACCTCCTCCTCCAGCCGATCATCGTTAAAAGTAGCCCGAGTAGAATTAATTATATGAGATATTTGACTGACCCGCGCAGCGAAATTATTGGTCATTTGACAAACGTAACTGATAAGTTTGCTTTAATCTAATAGAAATATATGTCCAGCGATGATGTATACTATGTAAGTCTGATTATGAAACATTCTACTGCATTGGAGGAGTATTCACAGTTAAGAGAATGATACTAAATTTATAAATGACAATCGTGGAGCCAGATTTGATTCTCAGGTGGTATTATTATTTTCCATTTCACTTTTGAAATGGTTTCGATTGCAATTGATCTCGATCAGCTATACCTGCCCACAGATATATTATATTTACCCCAAATATATTAATGATATTTGCCTAAGTAATAAAAATTTGTTGAATTCCTGTGGTGAGTCAACTGTTCCCAGTAAAAGTTGTTGGAACTGTTTTTCTAGAAGCTTTTTGAAGTTGCCTCAATAGATTAGAAGACTGCTTGTACTTCCTCTGCTAGAGAATTGTTCAAACTCCATATCAGATTGTGGGGTCGGGAAATTTGCAGTTTGTATGATATAACAAGCTTGAATATGACCTTGACCTCAACAATCCCAAATGTCTCGAAAAAAGATTTCGAAGCCATTTTTTCACTACAGTCCGTATTTGGTTGATCGATAAATGGTGGTCTAGGTAATTGTGGTGGCATATAATCTAAAGAATCCATATCAATATACACATCATGTTTGTTATGTTTAGTAGCTAGTGAAGCCTAGATATTTATTTTGTTAATGTTGATATAAGTTGGCGACATATTGATAAGCATACAATTAAATAATATTATTCAGTATTGTCTTTCATTCAGTTTTTCTGTAATGTAGTATTACTTTGAACCAACAATTATAATTTCCAACCCTTAGTAACCAGCAATGAAAATTAGCATCATGAAATTTTCAGCATTTCCACATTCAGTTAACATAAACTGCCTAACCTAACTTCTCGTTATATTTCAAACCATCTGATTTATGTTTCAGCTCCTTTCCTTGCATCCGAAGGTGTTGAAATAACCCTACCAATGAAAGTAAGATTATTTCCAGATTTCACAAACTACACTTAAACGATTTGATCTCCACTAACTTTATTGAAAATAATCATAACATGTTTCGCTAAAACATTAGCTTGATTTATTCAAAACAGAAATAATGTCAATAAGAAGAAGTCGAAAGCCAAAATCTTTCTTTCCCAGAAGCTAATATTTCCTGAAAGTATACCCCTTTCAATTCAAAACAAGATTCCTATGGCTGGGATTAAATCAAATAAGTCCATGAATGTCATTACATTCCGTCATTGTGACACAGGTAGATTTAAGTCATCTGTGACAAAGTCATAATGTATTGAATGAATTGACTGCTTCATTTCATAATGTTATCCAGATTGTTGCTGAAGAGACAAGAAGGCAAGTGTTCTATTCCGAAACGTAGATGTCCGCCAATGAGGATGACAGTGTTCCATGTGAGTGAAATTTTATTCATTTCATGTAATATATTTGGAAGAGCAGATTTTTGTTTCTGTATATGGATAATTAAAGAGAAATGCAACCTTCAAGGAATAGCCATAAATGTTCAACATGTAAGTTGATTGATTTATTTTATATTTAGTGCGTACTTTCTTTCAACCAACAAAAAATTAGCGATAATAAAACACAATATAAAGTCAAAAATGTCATATTTTCATATAATATTTTGTATACAGTAGTTATGGAGGGTAGAGGTAAGAAGAACTATCTCAATTGGGGATTTAGCTGAAAAAGTGTCCACTAGTAAATGATAAATTGTAGTTCAAAATTTGACCAAAATGGCACTAATATTAGAAGTGGTATGATATGAACTTAGCAATTATAGAGATCATAAAGTATGGTGAGTTCGAATATTTAATATTTTCAACGACTCGAGTTGTTGATGATATAGAGGGAATATTATTTAGTAAATATTGCGAGCGAGGTTTTCCACTTCAGTTTTATGTAGCTCTCCTTATTCTTTAACTTTTAGTACTTCATTTAAATTTTACACTCTTGCTACAGTGTCGTCTCTCTAATTTAATGGCTTGAAGGGACACTTAAAAGAGATGGTTCTCCTTAGGTCTACCCTCCATAAGATTAGTAAATGTTTTATTTGTTCCACGTCAAGGTTGATTCTCTCCATCACAGTCATCTTTAGTAGCACCTACTACTGCTTCGTAAAACTGATTGTTACCTTCTCTGGTGATTGGATTCCTACAAGAGGATCTTTCATGTGCCATTGCGCAGTTTTTCAATTTAGGTAACATTCTGGAAAAAATCCCGTCTTGAAATAACACTAATACATACTCAATACTTACTTACGAGCAAACAATATTCTTTGATGGAAGCACAGTCTTGTGACCCATCAACAGGTTCCAAACATCCTCACATTTTTGAAAAATTCTGATATCTTCTTGGAATCCACAAGGATTAAACAATTCTGGAAACGAGTTCTAATTTTTATTGTATGATACAGGATTTTGATCGTTGAAAGATGCTGCATAGTGTAAAACATTGATTCAAAAACTTTCGTTGTGAGAAATTATATACTGTGGACATTCAGATATTGTAGAATACCTACCCATAATTTGTTCGCCGGTTGAATTGCAAGCTTGATCTACAATGGCAAACAGAGCCTTTCCAAACATGTGTGGAAGATCTTTGGATTCCACGGGTAAACAATTTGTAACTTCATCAAAAAGTGGTTTTGAACATTTTGCCCAGTTTTTTCTAATGAGAGAACAGAAAGTGTCTGATCCTATCTCAATGTCTGTGATACACTCTGTTATTGAATCGAGAACACCCTACAAATAAATTTAATAGAGTAATTGAGAGTGAAACATAGCAAAATTCTAAGTGAACAATTTTAAAATAGTTTTTTGTTAAATTAGGCAAAGAAGTAACAGATATACTGCCGCGGCTACCAATTTATTTGCGGTGCAATGAAAGTGGCCAAGGATATACCTAAATCTAATTCTTTGCCATGTGAAACATATAATGTTTAATCCAATTGTTTATACAGTTTGTTTGAAAAATCGAAATCAAAGTGAAATTTTGTATATAACGGAAGTAACTTATCATTTTCAATATTTATTTGTATGTTATAATTTTTTATCTTAAATCGTATTTACACATTTCTACACTTCTACACCAATTTTTGTAACACCACTTCAGTGGTATATAAAAATCATTTTCAGCAAAAGATATCAGAAACTTTATCTTATATGACCTCCCCTTCAGTACCATCTATATTTCAATTTTTAAGATATGCATCTCTTTTGTCTATCAAACTCATCACATCAATCCAAATGGTAAAATAGTACGTTATTCATCAAATAACTTACTTCAAGTTTCCCCTCGATATTAGGACATTTCTGTTGTGCTGTTTTAGCTACTTTGATTACATCGAAAATGTGCGTCGCATTGAATTTCTCTTTGAGCAACCCTGCTAAATTTTTGATAACTTCTTTTTCGAACCATTTATCTTCAATGGAACCATCACCAAAACCTGAAAAAGTAGAACTGAGTTTGAAGTTACTTCTAAACATCAATTATTTATAAATCATAAGTAAATTGACAAGGCACAATTGGCATGTATGATTTTCACCATTTCTTAAATTTTTATCTGAGAAACAGCATGGATATTTGTCGCAAAATATCTCAAAGTATCTCAAGTCTCAAAGTATCTCAAGGCGGGTTGGCTGTCCTTGTTCATCTTTCACTACCTGAACCACTGTGCATGCAGTTTTCGGCGAGTGCATCGGCTTGGTATGTGGGGGTTGAGCAAACTGGCCATCGGATGCCTGCTTCCACGTAGCCCCGTTGGATACGGGAATGACAGAATCACTTGTGGTTCTGTTATTCCCTAACTGAATGGCATTTCAACGATGGCTCAATCCTAAGGTGTGTGTACCCGTGCCGAGAGGATGAATGACACTGAGCCTACCAGCTGTCTCTACGGAACCTTCGAGATACCGGGAGAAATCTCGTCGTAGCATCGCCTAGTCACGGTAATGCGGGGCTCTGCCGTGATTGACCTTCTTTCCCTAGCTACTTGTGGGACTTTTATGAACACAGTAAACTTAAAAATTCTTTCTGACCCTGAGTCCATAGAGGAGATGGATGTCTAGCTTACAACTCCAACTGACCTCCTTGTAAATTTAGTTCAGGAGCGAGTCTACAGAGGAGATGGATGTCGAGTTTACGACTTCAACTGACCTCCCTGTAAATTTAATTCAGGAGCGAGTCTACAGAAGAGATGGATGTCGAGTTTACGACTTCAACCGACCTCCCTGTAAATTTAGTTCAGGAGTGAGTCTACAGAAGAGATGGATGTCGAGTTTACGACTTCAACCGACCTCCCTGTAAATTTAGTTCAGGAGTGAGTCTACAGAAGAGATGGATGTCGAGTTTACTTGACCACCCGACTACCTCAATAACAGAGCATATACTTTGTGCCTGCCCCGCTGGGGACCGAATCAGGTCTTTAGAGTTCGACAGAGCCGTACTCTTACCATCTGACCTGAAAGACCACTCACAATACAAACTAGTCGGCTTCGTTAAGAAGCTGGGTTTATTTGGCCGAGTGTGAATATGCGTGAGCCACAATAAACCCTTGCGGGTTGCGGTGGAGGGTCGAATAGACCCACTCACTTTGGACCTAACCTAACCTAATCTCAAGGATTCATTCAGGAAGCGCTACTCGTTTTCAAATATATTTCCAACATTTCAACTCGTGTAAAACTATTACGTAGATGTGACATGAGTTGACATGTTTGTTCATGCACTAAATTATGATTATTAAAGTTATTTACAGATTCATTCAGATTCTCACTGTCTCAAACGAAACACTTCTAGAATAACAGGTATATATATCAAGCAAAAAGCCAGAATAATGTAAATAAAATGAATAACATTCATGAGTTTACTCAAACAAGTATTCAAGATAGTATCCTTCTGGTTTTCATACAGTAATAGAGGTTTTATTCAACGCAGTGTCGGATGTATTTACGATATAATGTTAAAAAATCCAGCAAAAAATCGGAGAAGTGAATCATATAGAGATGATCTGTTTGATTTTTATAAGTTTCGGTTTTCAAGTGATCTTACAAAAATAAAACGGACCTAAATCGGTTGAACTTGCAGACCACCTCACTACTGTCTTTCTTAACTGATCCATCTACTAGGAAAAAATTGATTCATTACTACATTTCTAAGTAAAAGCATCGATTGATGCCTAATTCCATGAAAGATTCAAAAGTTGATCATCACCACACCGAGAGGGTGGAAAAGAATATGCATGAAAGATCTTTCTCTCAAAATAAAAACTAATTTATTCGATCGATGTATTTTCTAAACCACGAAAAATTGAACTTGTTTTTTTTTCATTAAATCATCCTGTATATATATGAATGTGTACTTACTATAGACATGAAAGAAAATTACCGCTATAACAAACGTCTTCATTTTGGGATACGATTGAAACGTCTGCTTTGAACTCGCTAACGAAACATATGTTTTTGTAAATAATATTTTTGGATCGACCAATTTAAATCTGCAGGTGACTTATTTATTAATCTTTGTTGTGAAAGGTCATTGATAAACTCAATGCTATCTACTACCATGAAATGCGTCAACAGTCCATTCTGATTCCAAGAATAATAACGAATAATGAACAACATGCAAAAAAATTAATATGCTAAAACGAAAGATGCTGAATTGGTTTAACCGATAAACCACTGTCGTTTCCATAAGAACTAAATATAAATTTGTGGGATAAAACGATCAACAAGGTCATACCTTTTATCGTAAGATTCCGAGCATTATTACTTTTCACACATTCGGGTTCGATATATAGATTATTCAATTGCAATTGTTGATCACAATAAAAGTAAAATATAAAACTTTGCCTCTCCTCGAATATTATGTTTACATGTGAAATTGAAAGAAAAAATGAGCTATTAGTCTTACCTACATGTCGTAATTATGAAATACCTCCGTTAATTAGACTTCCAGTCAATATTGATTATCGTTCCAATAACAAGATGAATCAAGATTCAAATGAATTAAATCAAATTTTCAAAAAAATTGATTCTATGAATTAAGAATACATCGACCCGTTACTTGATGAAAATTAATAACACTCTCTATGATAGAAGCTGCAAATTCTAGAATTTATATCGGTCTAATCAGAACTTCCATCTGTCTCCTCCCAATTTCGGCTCTAATCATGTATGTATGTTGAACGTACAAGTTCATTTATTTATCAATCCTTTATTCAGCACAATGAAGCTAAATTACACTCGATCAAAATATAAAATTGTACAAGTTGAGCTAAAACATTCCATGGNTATTCAGCACAATGAAGCTGAATTACACTCGATCAAAATATAAAATTTTACAAGTTGAGCTAAAACATTCCATAGCTAAAGCTAAATGAGGAGTTGGAAATTAATAAAAAATCGAAACAAAATAAAATAAGTGAAAAAAATTATGTTAAACGGTTTTAATTTTTCCAATTTTCAATTTCCAATTTATTCATTCAGTTAACATTCAATTAAATGTTCAGTTAAATTGAGTTAAATAATTAGATTACATGAATAACTATTTTATGTGCTATTTTGAATTCATCAAAAAGTCGAAAATTACACCTAAGCTATTATACAATACCGTATTACCGACTCAGCTAAATATGTATAACACATTCTCAAATTCTTCCTATCTAGAATATCTCGTAGGTTATAGAAGGTGTACATAAGCTTTCTCAGTCTTTTTGTGACTTGACTTACGTGTTCATCCCACCTGAAATGCTGGTCCAGCATAACACCCAAGTATTTGATAGTTGAAGTCTTTTCTATTATATCACATGTACATGGTTGATGTGAGTCGCATCTCAAACTTTTNAAACTAAAAAAATATTCGGAAGGTCCTAAGTAGCAGTCATCACACCACTCTTCTATGTACTTACTATACCCAATGATTTTATATTTTTTTATGTGATCAACATCGTAGATTGCTGAAGAGAGTGGTGTGATGACTGCTACCTAGGACTTTCCGAATTATTTTTTAGTTTTTAGTACATTATCTACATCATTATTATCTTTTTTTTTCAATAATGCCGTTCAACATATTTTTTTTTACTTATTTTATTTTCAAGTTTTTTATTTTTAATTTCTATCCACCCTAATACCACACAGTTCTCGGCGTTTTAACCTTTTTCCTCAACTTGGGTGGTACATCGTTGACGATATACCAATTTTAACCACTTTAACGGCACAGAATCCTCGACACGATTCAAAATCTTGACTTGCGTAGGAGCTTGTATTTCGATTCTGAGTTATTTGTATGGATTATATTGAATTTGCATCTTTCTCATAGTGTACTACTAAAGTACTAATCAAGCTCTGTCATTTGATACATATATTGGAGTCGTTGTAAAAAATATGTAATCTGCCATTTTGTAGCTGCGGCCATCTTGAATTGGCATCCTTTTCAAAGTGTACTATTATTCTACGAGTCAAGACCTGTCATTTGATACCCATTCAGATAGTTGTGAAAAAATATTTAATCCGCCATTTTGAAGCTGTGGCCATCTTCGATTAACAATGATATAATGATTAAATTGTATTTTCATCAAAACTAAATGTGTACCAAATATCAGCTCAATATCTCAACAGGAAGGAGGTCAAACTTCAATTACTAAATTTGACCTAAATAAATAAACAAATAAACAAAAAAAACAAACAGGGCAAACTGAATAGGTAAAACCGTTTAAAACATAACCTTGTATATTTTTTCAAAAAATTTGGTAGAATATGAAATTCTTTTTTCAACGATATAACACAAGCGACCATTTGCATTCGAAATGACGGCGCAGAATCATTTTATCCAAATTCAATATGGCGGCACTATGACGTCATCTATATAGGAAGTGATATTTTTCAAACCTCAACAGTAAGAGAGGTGTCTATACTTTCTTCCTTCCTACAAAAAATTTTAAAGATAGGTACACTTTTTCAGTGGCACCGAAAAATTAGCCTCATCTTTGACACTTTTTGTAGTGAAAGAGATACAATTTGATCTTGAGATTTGAAAAATGTCACTTTTAACAAAATTTTACAGGTACATGAAATAAATAACGACATTCAATGAAAATAAATGTAAAGTACATGTATTGGTGAAATTTTTCACTTCTTGAGTTTTTAATTATGAAGTTAGCTCTTGAACATCCATAAATGTAACAGTCATAAATCACTTATCGAGGAACAAGTACAAATCAAAACACAACAAGATCTAACATTCAATATATTAAACAAATCAAGACACACTCCTTGAAACAATAAGCCAAGAGAAGATCCAACACAAAGAATAGTACCTGATGTAGTCCAAATACAGGCAAGTTCACCTAAAGTACCTGAAGTACCTGTATTGAGGCGTTCGGACCATATAAAAGGACACACAACAGGATGACACGTTCAGATAGAGTAGGGCCTACCCTAGAGGATGACAGCACGACCAGCTGTCGAAAGCGCTCGCAGATAATCAAACAGAAGTTATAGAGCTTCAAATCCTTTTTGTAACTTACAAGTTACAAAAAGAATTTGAAGTTTTATTACTTCTATTTGATTATATGCGAGCGCTTTCGACAGCTGGTCGTGCTGTCATCTTCTAGGCACTCTTCTATCTATAGAAAAATGTGGAAATCTCCCAAAGGAAGGAAGAAAGCAATTAATTTCGAAATGAACGCTTAGAAGCAATGAGACACTTGTCTACTCAGGGGAAATTATAAAAGCGACTTCCAAGATCCCACAGAAACAGCAAAAAACCCGAGATACATTGGTCGTAACAACCATATAGTACCATATTTTGAAGGAACTACAGATAAAATCAGCAGAATTCTCCGCCAACACAATATAGCAACATCATCCGTACCAGAACGTACAATAAGGTCCATGCTCTGTAATCCAAAGGATCAGATACCACTGAAGTCCCAATAACTTTACGAAGTACCATGCCATACTGTGACAAGAATTACATAGGCCAGACCAATAGGCGAACACAAATTAGCAGTAAAGGGGGAAGTCATCACGTCTTCTCTCTTCCGAAACGTATTGGCAACAGGACGCAATATCAATTTCGAGAACACAAAAACACTAACAAGCAATGAAAACTTATACTGTCGAACAATCAGAGAGGCTATCGAAATTGAAAAAAATCTAGTAGTACCTATGAACAAGAAGTATAATGCGCAAAAATTACCAGCAACATGGAAATCCGTCTCATCACTTCCCAAAAGCGAACAGACCGTACAACCCCAGAAGCAAAACTCAGCACATGATAATACAGGTATAATAACAAAGGCAGGCGAGACAGAAATGGTAATCGGACTAATACAGTTTTTTGAGTAATCACAGGTAGTGGCAGCACCCCGGGTAAATGGTAGTTTCCACCCCTATGAATTAAGACACAGAGTTCGATTAAATCAGGGAGGGATTTTCTTAGACGTCTCTATGGCGTTCGACAGAGTATGGCATGACATACTTCTGGCCAAAATGAGCAATTTTGGCTACACGAAACAAATGGTAAGATTAATCGAGTCTTTTTATCTGACATGCGATGCCGCTGCAGAGTAGGACAAGAACTCTCAACCATGCGATTTCTGGAAGCAGGGTTCCCACAAGAAGCAGTCCTTTCGCCACACCTCTTCTCGGTATACACAACAGACGTTCCCAAGCCTGAGAACAACTTTAGCAAGTTGACACTCTACGTTGACGATACAGCTCTACTGGCGAAGAAGCAATATGGGACTGAAATTGAAACTGCTGATGATAAATACCGTACTATTAGCAATAATCCCGTGTGCCTGTACTGCCTGGGGCCAGGGCGCAGCGACATACAGAAGACAGACCCAGTCGTTTATGAACGCGTGCGTAAGGGCAGCCGTAAACGCTCCAAGATATATACCGAATAGGTACATATTCCGGGATCTAGACCTGAACATACACTATATAGACTCATAATATGAGACAACACGCAGAAGACGCGTTTGACAGAATTCTAGAGCACGGCAATCCAGCGCTACGCGATCTACACAATGCATTGAACGGGGATGACCCCAAATTCCGATAGAGATACAAACATAGAAGGCCAACCAAGCAGAACCAACATCCACCTCCGTGAGTCGCTATCAGGCGGCTCCGGTAAGTATGAAATTTTTTCAACAGATAACAAACACTTCCTTTTCAGGTTCAACGAGAAACACTCGACCGCGATCTCTTTTAAACAATAGTCACCGGTTAGTTTTTGGGGACCCCATGTTCAGTTAGGAAAACCAAGATAAAACAAAACACCAGATTAGAAAGTAAATGCACCTAAAGGCTGACTTTCGACCAGAAAAAGGCCAGATGTCATTGCTGAAGTGCCTATCAGAAAGCTGAGGCCCTGGGCATAATAGGATAATGGGACCCCTATGACTTTGACAGAACGCTATTTTGTTAGAATAGACAAAGAAAGTAGATAAACAAAGTTGATTATTT